TCTCCCCTTTTCCTACTACCACTTCCCCTCTGTCGCATCACGTCTTCCTGCTTGTTGTCACTTCGCTCTACACACACCCTATCTCCCGCTTCCCCTTCTGCTCCCCTCCCCACACTCCACCAACCCATCCTCTCTACCCTCCCCTGCCCTGCCCTGCCCTGCCCTGCCCTGCTCTTCTCCCCTACCCTCTGCTGCCTCTACACTGCCCCCACTTCCTCTCTTCCCCTCCCTCTCTCCTCCCACCACCTTTATTTTTTCCTCCTTTTTAACTTCCACTCAGACCCCGGTTGCTACTCTCCACTACACCACCTATCACCTCCACTCCCTAACTGCCCTCTACTATACACTTCCCCATCCCCTTCACTACCTGATATCACCTACTACTCTGCTTCGCTACTCTGCTTGGCTACTGTGCTCACCTGCCCTTACTACCCTCACCACTTCCACTTGCCTGCCCTCCCCTACAGACACACATCCTACTACACTCTGCTACCTGCTTGTTGTGTTTTCTCCTAGTTCCTACTTCCCTGCCTGCCTGCCTGCTTGTTCCCGTTGGCTCCGCTAGGTCGAACTGTTCCTTCACCGCCTGTGCCGGTGCGCTGCGCATGCTGCTGCCCCTCTGCTCCACCGTGCATCCGTGCTGGTTGTCTTTGTCTTTTACTTTTCCCTCCTTTTTAGTTTTACTCTGCATATTCTATGTGTTCACCCCACATTGTGTGACAAAATCACATCACCTCCACGCGCTGCTGCTTTAGCCACATTTGCGTTGGGCAGCCCACCTGTGTGGAGGTTTTAGTGTATTCAGGAAGGGCACCGACCCCGTCTGCTTGGGGCAACTTCCATGCCCTTTGAGGAGTCGCGCAGATCAGTTGTCGTTTTACTTTTGGTTTCGTGCAGAGGCACCTACGCAGTTACCCGGTCTTGTTTCCAAATAACCTTCTACATCTAATATACTCTTTGGCCAACATCGTATGACCTGTAGTCCAGGTTCCTTTTTCAAGATCGGATCGCGATCAAGTGACTATGGAATAATGAGAAATCTCGGGTGGCTTCTTTGAACCGAGTCAGGTCGATTCCAAATCATAGCGACTCTTCGGGAGCTGCTTTTTTCTTATCGTAAGCTGGATCATTTGACGCTGGTTTAGATAAGACTTGGTAGAATCCAAGACTAGAAATTTTCCTTTTTGCAAAAATGGTCAAAGGTCCGATATCTCACTTTGATTTCTGCTGCTTACTTTGAACTATTTTTTTATCGTATCTCCTTTCGCTCGGTGAGGGTAACTTTATCCGCCGCATCTTTTTCTTATCCGCGATAATGAGCAATATTTACTTTGAGGTACTGTGTGAAATTTTGATCCGATTTATTTAATTAATGTCGAAAATCTGGATGAAAGATGATACAGACCCGGTTTTATCGACCGTGATATCGCTAGAAGATAAAGTTATCCACGTGAATGAAAAGGATCTTGACGACGCCGCAAAATACACAGGCCTCGCAGAAGACTACACCTTAGATCCTCAATATGAAAAGAAGTTCGTCAGAAAAATCGACTTGTATATCTTACCAATAGTTGCAACTTTGATGTCCTGTCAGCTTATGGACAAGACCACAAACTCCTATGCGGCAGTCATGGGGCTCCGAACAGATCTTCATATGAGCTCAAAAGAGTATAGTTGGGTCGGATCATCTTTTTATCTTGGCTATTTGGTTTTTGAATATCCAGCTGGGCTGGCCTTACAAAAACTTCCTTTGTCAAAAACTTTATCAGCGGCAGTGGTTACCTGGGGCGCTGTGCTAATGTGCCACGCTGCATGCCAGTCTGCAGCAACGTTCCTTCTCTGTCGTACACTTCTAGGAGTATTTGAAGGATTTATGAATCCAGCATACATCTTGCTCACCTCCCAATGGTACAAGAAGGAGGAACAATTTATGAGGACTTGTGTTTGGTACGGCTCCCAAGGATTGGGAACTTTACTTGGTGCAGCAATTGCTTACGGGCTTAAAGTTCACAGAGACGGAGAACACTCGTTTGCCACATGGAGATTGTTCTACATAATTACTGGCCTGATCACAATTTTCCTTGGAGTTGTCTCTATGCTTCATATTCCAGACCTTCCAGTGGAAGCTTGGTTCTTGAATGAAGAGGACAAACGATGTTGTGTTGAAAGAGCTCGGCACAATCAACAAGGTTTTGGAAACCACCGATTGAAAATGCCTCAATTAAAGGAAGCCGCTCTTGATCCCACAACGTACCTAATTTTTATCTATGCCATGACTTACGCTATTCCAAATGGTGGCGTCAACAATTTCGGAACGATATTACTTAACTCAGACTTCGGATTCAGCACGACCGACTCAATACTGATGAACATGCCTGGTGGAGGCATCGATGTTATCATCCCTCCTTTAGTGGCTATCATCAACCATAAGTTCTTGAAGGACAAGCGACTCATCTCTATGATACTGATTAACCTTCTTTGCGTGCTTGGTACCTGTCTTCTTATCTTTACAGGCCCTAGGGGTTCTAGACTCGCGGGATACTATATGATATATACGTCAACCACTTGTATGGCGGGAATAGCGTCTATTGTTTCATCCAATGTGGCTGGCCACTCGAAAAAAGTTGCTGTCAGTACTGTTTTTCTCATTGGATACTGTGCTGGGAATATGATTGGGCCCCAGACATTTGTTGAGGCTCAGGCTCCAAATTATATTGGTGCTAAGACCGCAATGCTCGTGTGTTACTCTGTTGGAGCATTCGCTATGGCGGCTATGTACGTGATTTACTACGCGAGAAATCGCAAGCGTGGAGAACTATCAGCTGAAAGTGGTGATCTTGCTTTTGCGGATCTGACGGACAAGCAAAATCCAGATTTCAGATACGAACTTTAAATAAAGCTCCTTTTATTTTTTGCTCTATCCCGTACGCTTTTTTCAAACACTGAAGCCCCTAATTACTTTGAATGTGATACCCCTCTTTGTGGCCTGCCTTCGATGGGAAATACAGTATTTTCTGCTCTGTTTTCTATCAGCATATCATTCAGAACCTCATTAAAGCACGCATCCGATATAGGAAGCTGCGAGTTGATCGATTTCCTAAAAGAATCTTAAGAGACCTCGCTCCGAGCAGATCTCATCCACCAACTGGAAGGAGAATTTCTCTTCGAACTGTCTGCTTTTCAGAAATGCGTCTTCTTGAATGATACGGGGTCGTTGCCTCCACTAATGCTGTCGCATTCGAAAACTTGACTGTGCTCTCAGCAGCGGTAAAATCGCCAAGGTCTGAAAAGGTGCACCTGCGCTAATCTACCTACACAGTTGTTGACTCTACCGGTATACAGTTTTGTTTTGGACTTTGCCACAATTGCGTCCACGTGCTGGCCGCTCCTGGAGAGGACAAGCTAAAAGATTAGTTCCAATGTCAGCCTGAGGACATTAACCGAGTGGGCTAAAACTTATATGTTTGGTAATAGGAATGATTTGAACTGTGGACTATTAAAGATTGATTAGATTTTTCAAGATCGATTACGCTTGGGCCAATCAAGGTTCCACCTTGAAACAGCTGTATTACACTTTGATAGACTTTGCTTCATTGCATGAGCTCATACTGCACATTTGGCTGCGGAGTTTGTTCTCGATATTGAGAATCTCCCAAGAACGGTAATTTAAGCTACTTTGTGGGGTAAGATATTTTTCTCGGCTAAAACACTGACCCTATTTACCCCCCTTGGAAACTCGTTGGGCCAGTAAACTGAGAAAACTTAGCCTCACCGACTACGGAGTGCTCAAAATGGCGCTCCTCTATCATGATGGAGATTTTTAAATGCATTATAAATACGGCTCTAGTTGACAATTTTTTCAAGTCCCAGATGACAATACCTACTACTACTGTGGAAACTGCAAGCACTTTTGAGGGAAAGTTTGTTAATCCTCCAGGAGCAGCCTTGGCGCCTAATGTTCTGGATCTTTTCTCATTGAAAAACAAGATCTGCGTTGTAACCGGAGCTGGTAGAGGAATTGGCTACCACATCGCAGAAGCTTACGCGCAAGCCGGTGGACGTCTAGCTGTTTGGGACTATGAGAAGCCAGTAAAGGCAGCAGCCAAGATCTCTGAGAGTACTGGTGCAGAAACAAGAGCTTATGGATGTGATGTCGGCGATCAGCAGAAGGTAAAAGAAACTGTCAACCAAATAGTTAAGGATTTTGGAACTATTGATGTCTTTGTTGCGAATGCTGGTGTCCATATTGTTACAGACGGAGTCATTGATACTTTGGATGAAGACGGGTCGAGATGGTCTAAAGTTATGAACGTTAATCTCAATGGAGTCTACTATTGTTCCAAAGCAGTTGGGAGAGTATTTAAAGAACGGGGGTCGGGATCGTTGATTTTTACCGGATCCATGTCAGGTCATATTGTGAATACACCAATTCATCACGCTGCCTATAACACAAGCAAAGCGGGGGTTATCCACTTTGCGAAGTGTCTCGCTATGGAATTTAAAGATTTTGCCCGAGTTAATACAGTTTCCCCCGGATATATTGATTCTGGAATCAATAACCATGTGGACCCCGCTCTACGTCAAACATGGCAAAAGGAGATCCCTCTTGGAAGGGAGGGATATCCTCGGGAACTGATTGGTGCTTACCTCTATTTTGCTTCGGATGCATCTACATATGCCACTGGGTCGGACTTGGTTGTTGATGGTGGCTACACCATTCATTAGGATTTGCGGCCATGGCGAAGCTCTTACCTCCCCGCTTACATACTGGTTTATGGCTTTTGTGTTTAATAGTCTCATCAGAAAACGAGTAGGTTTCTGTGATTCAAATAGAACCCGGAACAATCAGGTTTTTGCCAGATCACAGTTGAGGCTGCATCTCCTGAGGTCTGTCTTACTATACCTCAGAAACCTACTTAGGTTGCCCAGATCAACAGATAAGGCCGGTCAGCAAGAATTAAGCTCCAGTCGGCCGACAAAAACTAATGTGCCTCGTGAATTCTGAAACTTTGCCAATCTGATAAGCATGGCTCCATCGTCAAATGAAGATCTACAACTATTTCGCATTGTTATAGCGAATTTGGGAAATGCGTCCTCGGGATTGTCTTGCCTAATTCAAGATATTTCCAATTACCGTTGAGCTTTGTTGTAGAAATGTCCACACGAAAGACGTACCGAGTTCTGTAAGTCACAAACTTGGCGACACAATCAATTAAATGCAGAAATGGCCCACCTCATTAGACAGAGGGTGATTGCTTTATTCAATACCGATTAATACATCTCTATCAAGTGGAAAACAATTAGAGAATAAGCCGGAAACTTCGTGCGATTTCGATCAAAAGCTTTATCGTCCCAGTATTTGAGTGCCTTGCAGGCGCAGTTGTCGCTTCTCTTTTAGACCGTTTCGCGTTCCTCAGACAGTACCCCATTATCTGAAATGCGTGTCACTCGTCATCCGCTCAAAGTTCAACTTCTTCAAGAGCTGGTTCGACCAGTACGCATACTTCCAAGTACTGCAGTATCACCGTCATACAATTTTTTAAAAGAGTGACAGTGGTACCATGAAATATACTTTCCCAAGTCCTGATGTGATGCCGAACCCGATATCCTTGCTGGAGCAGTTGGTACCCCCTGAATTCGGGTGCCATTGGCGGCCTCACTTGTGGTGCAATTGGTAGAGCTGCCAAAGCTGGCTACCTTTGACTACAGCTCGCACGAAGTTTTTCTTGTATGCCAACGACTTCGTCAATGGGGACGCAACGTATATGATCAGGTTACATCTGCCATTTGAGACGCCACTTACAAATAAAACTGTCGAACTAATAAATAATTAAATGTCTATAATTATACCTCACCTGCATCGTCATTTCGGTCCTTGCTGCCATCCGGTATTATCAAGTTCAAAAAGCAGACGATTATAGCTCCAAAAATAAACGGAGTTTCAACAATGAGGTCAATTCCTTCAAGGAATCCTGCCAAAGATTGATTTGAGCCACTGTAAGCCAGAATCTTGTCAAACCAAGACGAAACCACAGTTCCTGCAAAACCCCATCCAAGTCCACATGAGAGAATAAAGCGATTCCGTCTAGTCCACGGGACCGTTGAGAGAATTTTTATACCGGCAACACCAATAGTTCCGAAGAGAAATACCTGCATTCCACCAAACACTGGTAGGGGCAAAGCAGCAAAAGTAGCTGAGATTTTGGAGAAAATACCCATCAGAATCAACAAGACAGCCGCAACCCATCCTGCCTTTCTCGAAGCACATCCAGTGAGCAGGATGACTCCGTTGTTAGCGGCCTGAGAGACCATAGGAATCCCTCCGCCAACGGAAGCCAATAGACTGCCTAATGCATCGCACATTATTCCCCCTTGAATACGAGACTGGAATTCGACTCCAGATGTTTTTTCGTGACTTGCCTCCGCTGTAGCAAGAATATCAGGTATGCAACTGATACCTTCGACAATAAACATAAGCAAATGCGCAAGAATTAAAGACCCATCCACTGAATAGGTATAATTTTTGGTCCAAAGGAAATCTGCTGCAGGAGCGGCATGGATTCCTGACGCATCCCAGTAACCACAGGCTGCTGATATGATGCATCCTATGATAAGTCCCAAAATAATTGATGAACTTTTCATAATTGGAGATCCAACAAGGTTGATAATGACGATGGATATGAAAGTAGAAAATCCCAGTCCAATGTATGGACGAGATCCCCACTCAAAGTTGTGAGAGCCGGTGCTGCATCCTCCGCCATATTGCAAACAGTTACTGCCCCCTCCCCAGTTTTTCATACCGTTTCCAGAGAGATATACAGCAAGTAGAAGAAGAAGCGTACCGGTGACCATACTCGGGAAAATTCTCTTGAGGATTCTAGGTGGAACAAATGCTAAAAGAACTTGGATCCACACAGTGCACAACATCGAGCCAAGAAATGCTCCAAATGCATCTGGGCAAGGAAGATTGGTTCCATCAGAAGCTATAGGACAAGTCCCTTTTGAGTAACGGATCGAAGAATATGAGTATGCAATACCGACGATATCAAAGGTAGGCCCCACCACTGACAGAAGTCCCGTACCAACGTAGTAAGGCGTTTTATATATGTGAAACCTGGTGATTTGAGCGAATGTAGCAACTCCGGCAGTGATCAGCGTACAGGAAACAAGGTGCTGTGTTTGTTGGGCATCAAAATACAGCGCATCGCCCATTAGAAGCGGGACAGCGACGAGACTGCAGATTAACGTTAGACAATGCTGAAGGCCAAGTATAACAGCCAGCAATATTGGAATGTCATCATTTATTCCAAAATACGGTTGATCATAGTGTTTGAATTTTCTGTTGAAAGGCCAGATTGCAGGAGTAAAGAGGAAAGCGTAATCATAATCACCCAGCCATCCGTCGCGAGTGGTGAACTTTCTATAAAGATTTTTCAGTCTATTCTGCTCACAATCAGTAATCTCCAAAGCATGCGAGCTTTTCGAATCAGACATCTGGAGACAAGATCTAAGTTCAGGAGGTTTGGGTCGTTTGCCGAAATTTATAATAAAGCAGTTTGATTTCGAGTATTGATTTCATCACCGACTCGTGCCGACTCGGGCCGCCGACAACTGATAAGAAAAAGTTTATGCATCCTGCAAGATATGGAAACCAAAATTTTTTTTTTTGCAAAAGCTGATAGTGATAAAATCTTTCCTCGGCGACCATAAGCATCTACTACAAAATGTTGCAATCAAAGGCCTTGCAAACGATTGGGTTTACGGTTTATTATGGGATGCTTGTTCACACCCCTAATTTTGGTGACCTCGAGGTGATTCCAAACGCAAGGATAGGTGTCGACAGTCGCGGAATCATAATATACATAGCTACAGGGCCTTTGATGACGACTATCGAAGGTGAAGCTCAAAGTTATGATCCCTCTGTACAAAGCATCAGTGTTGTTGACATCTCTACCTTTGGATTCAAGAAGTTTTTTATTCCTGGGTTCATAGACACTCATATTCACGCTCCCCAGTTTCCCAATTGTGGAGTTTTTGGTAACTCTACGCTGTTCTCCTGGTTGACTAAGTATACATATCCAGTAGAGATGGCATTGGAGGACCCCTTGAAGGCAACGGACGTTTACGATAGAGTTGTTCAAAAAACACTTTCCAATGGGACTACTTTTTGTGCATACTACGCAACTATTCATACAACTGCAACTAATATCTTGGCTGACTGTGCTTTCAAACATGGCCAGCGGGCATACATCGGGAGAAGCTGTATGGATTGTGCGAAGAAAGAATACACAGATCACGGCCTAGAAGACGGAATGCAGTCGACGAGGACGGTAATTGAGCACGTGAAAAAGATTGACCCAGACTACAGCTTAATTAAACCAATATTGAGTCCACGGAACGCCAATAAGTGCTCACCGGACTTCATGCTTTGGCTTGCAGAACAAAGCCGTGAACAAAACCTTCCAATTCAAGCACATCTTAGTGAGACTGAGGACGAAGTTGAGCAAATTTTGAAGATGTTTCCTAACTGCAAAACCTATACCGAGATATACGACTCGCACAAGCTCCTCACCGAAAACACCATTCTAGGACACTGTATTTTTTTGGAAACTGAAGAGCTGAAGCTTATCAATGAGCGAAAGAGCTCTATTTCACATTGTCCAACGTCTAATAGCTGTCTCACGTCGGGAGAAGCCAGACTGAGATGGATAATTGACAGCGGATCAAAAGTTGGCCTCGGCACGGACATCTCAGGTGGATTTTCTCCATCGATGCTCACTACAGCGAGACATGCAGTCCTTGTATCTCGACATGTCGCCATGAAAACCAAATCTGACCACGATAAGATTTCAGTCAACGAATCACTCTACCTAGCGACCCTAGGGGGAGCAAAGGTGATTGGTATGGACCGAGAGTTTGGATCGTTTGCTGTGGGGAAAAAGTGGGATTGTCAGCTAATAGACTTAGACACCGAAGGATCTCCTGTTGACCTTTTTGACTTCCTAAACCCATCCAATGAAGGATTACTCTCTGGAGACCCATCACATATTTCCAAATTCCAGGATCTCATTGACAAATGGGTTTTTAATGGAGATGATAGAAATGTAAGAAAAGTATACGTTAATGGTCGATGTGTACTTGACAAAGATTGATCTAAGCGGAATTAATAGACTTAGCGAGTGTTTAAATAAAAAATGTAAGCAAGAGATCCGCCTGGCAAATGCATTATCTTATGTGCCATACAGTTGAAATTCAATTCAGAAAATCCCATGCATAGAGCGGCGGTTAAAATCTGCTGTCCATTTAAAGCTTTCACAACAAGTGCAGAATTTTCAGAGACGTCAATATCCAAAAAGTTCAGATAAGACGTGCATGAAACGCATTGCCGTGTCAGGGGAGATAATATAAATCTCGAACAAAAACTGGATTATGCCAGAATTTGGAATGCCAACTCTCAAGGACAACACAGTTGAGGAGGTCAAATCAATCGTTCAAGAGGGGGAAGTTGTAGAGGTGCGTGAGGGGGCCAAAGTGCTCGATCATAAGCTCGAAAGAAGAATTTGCCGGAAGTTCGACTACCGGATTCTACCTTTGACAGCCTTGATGTACCTTTTCAATTCCTTGGACAAATCCAACATATCTAATGCCAAAACGAACGGTATTGATGATGATCTCCACATTGTCGGACAGCAGTGGAACACTATGCTATCCATCTTTTATATTCCTTTCGTCCTCTGTGCCTTTCCTCTTTCCTTACTAATTAAAAAGTATAATGCAGCCAACGTGATTCCAATTATGATGTTCAGCTTTGGAAGCATTACATTGCTCCTTGTTTCAGCTTTTGATTACGGGTCACTAGTTGCAGGTAGGTGGTTCCTGGGAATGTGTGAGTCTGCCTTTTTTCCAGGTATTGTTTACTATTTGAGTACATTCTACCGCAGAGCAGAACTGGCCAGAAGACTTTCCATTTTCTACGGTGCCTTCAACATTGCTAACGCATTCTCCGGCCTGCTATCCTACGGTGTATTTCAAATCAAAAGTTCGCGTCTTCACGGTTGGCAAATCCTGTTCCTGATTGAAGGAGCGTTGACAGTTGCATTTTCTGTAGTTGCGTTTCTGTACCTGCCAAGATCCGTTCAACAAGTCAAGTTCTTGACAGAAGAAGAGAGAGAATGTGCTGTTTGGAGAATATCGACTGATTCGAGTTCCATGGTTGGAGACAAACTATCAATTAAAGATTCTCTGAAAGTGTTTAAACATCCCGTTGCAATCATGTGGATGTTCCAAGAAATTTGCATAGGTGTTCCATTGAACTCCTACAGCAACTGGTTCCCGCAAATTGTCCAGTCCCTTGGTCACGGGACTGTTATCACGAATCTCTACACAGTTGCTCCAAATGTCTGGGGTGCTATTTCCCTTATGGTATTGTGTTTTGCTTCTGACTACACTAGCACTCGTTCCTTATTTGTTGGAATTGCTGTTGCATCCACACTTATTGGATTCGTTGTCTTCGGAGCGATCGACTCCGCGACCCATACGGGTGTTGCTTATTTCTCTTGCTTTCTGATGACTACTGGTGTCTCTGCTTCTTCAGTGTTGACGTCCACCTGGTACAACAATAACACACCTAACGAAAACAGAAGAATGGTTATATCGGCTATTGGCATTCCTCTTGCCAACGCCTCTGGACTGATTGCTAGTAACATATTCAGGGCCAAGGATGCTCCAAAATATATTCCTGCACTGGGAATCACCGCAGCTTTTGGAGGTGCGGCACTTATCACAATTGTATTAATCAGTATCTACATGGTGATCGATAACAAGCATCGAAATAAGGCACAGGGCACAAAGTTGACCTTCAGAGACGTTCCAACATATCTGCTGGCAGAAGGGCCATCCAATCCTAGCTATAGATGGATGTACTAAGAAGAGTAAAAATCAGCTTTTAAATTTTAGTGATTTTGAGTCATCGGAGCGTAACCTAAAACGATAAGGCGAACAACAGTTTGAAGGCCACGCATTTCAGAGGCAGACTAGGTATCCAATTGCTTCCACGTAGGAGCAGCCTATTTTGTATGTAATAATCTTATTTGCTTTTCGTCTCAAAGCTATTGCTACATCCAAAATTGCGTTGCTTTTTCTGAGTATGGGGCCCAAGCAATTTATACTTGTAGTTTTGCGGCTCGCCAAAGAGCAAACAACTTACACTGTTTGAGGCAGCCCCTAATAACGGGTAAATTTAAATCATCAAGGCATATGGGTCTCATTGCGGCTCTCCTAGTATAAAATAGAACAGATATCTTACCTTTGCCTGTCAACTAAAAAATGGATAAAACCGTATACCTTGTTGTTGGCGCCTCAAGAGGCCTTGGTTACGAAATTGCTAACCAATTGAGCTCAAAGAACTCAAACTATGTCATCACCACTTACAGATCAGTGGAGAACTCGGGCCAATTGCTCAGTCTCGCCGAAAAACCAAATGTTGAAGCTATCCAGCTCGACATTGCAGCACAATACTCAATTGATAATCTACCGCACGAGATAAGAAAGTTCACGGATGCAATTGATATTGCCATAATCAGTGCTGGAATAGCAGAGTCGTTCGGTAGCGTCTTAGAATGCAGCAGAGATATTTGGCTTGAGCATTACACCACTAATGCGCTAGGTCCAATCTTGGTCTATCAAAAGATTCATCCCTTCATGCTGACAAAGTTTACCAGAAAAGTATTCTTCATTTCATGTGCTGCAGGTTCCGCTCAAACGTTGCTGTCTATTCCTTTCGGTGCTTATGGACAATCTAAGGCAGCTTTGAACTACTCCGTTAAAAAGCTAAGCGAGGAGCAGCACAGCAATCACTTTACCATTGTGGCGATCCATCCGGGAACTATTTTGACAGAAAATGTCAAAGAAAAACTCAAGTTTGGAGACATTGATGTCAAAAATAAGATACAATTCAAGACTGTATTGCCTGCTTTAGCTGCAGAACAAGTTCTTGTCGCAGTCGATATTTTGGGTGAACAAAGCAACGGCAGGTTCGTGAAGGCTGATGATTTGCTTGACATTCCATTTTAAGTGTTATTTTCCGTATGGCTAAAATATACTAGACTACTAGTCAAATAATAAAACATTCTCGAGACAGGAAAAAATAAGATTCAAAAAAAATGTGGGCTAAGAGGTTCGAACTCTTGCTTCTTAACGAAATCACGACCTGAACGTGACGCCTTAACCACTCGGCCAAACCCACTGCTTGTTAAAAAAGAAGATCATCAGCCATTTTTGTTTATACTAAAGAAGTCTATCTTCTCAAATGGAAACTTCAGCCAAGTTGCAGAATAAAATTTAAAAACCTATATTTTTAATACAAAGAATCCAACTTTGATCACAATAACTACAGAATAACGCTATATTGAACTTTCCTTCAGTGTGTTGAGCTTCTTCACTACTTTCGCAGGAACTCCTAAGACTAGGGTGTTGCTTTCCACATCTTTTGTCACAACAGCTCCCGCGCCAACTACGACATTATCTCCTAGAGTAACACCGGGCAAAATAACACAGTTGGCTCCAAGCCAGCAGTGGTCCCCAATTTTGATTGGCAGGCCAAACTCTTGGCCTTCTGCCCTATAATTTACATCCAATGGATGGCCAGCTGTGCATAACGTAACGTTGGGACCAAGCAGACAATTGTCACCAATTAAAATCAGAGAGACGTCTAAAAACGAAGCATTGTAGTTGGCGTAGAAGTTGTCTCCCACAACTATGTTGTAGCCATAATCACAGTTGAAGGGAGATTCCACAGAGCAGTTTGCGCCAGTTTTGCCAAATAATTTTTGGATAAATTCAGCCTTTTTTTTTTTCCACTCCTCGAGAGAATTGAAGTCTCTCCGACGAATATTGGCGAAGTCAACAGACAAGTCGGAGGAGATCGCCCTTCCGTCTTCTAGCAATGGATCCATCGGATCATACAACATTCCAGAGATCATCTTATTGTACTCTGGAGTGTCTGGAACATAACGCAAGTTGTTACGAGCATACTTTAAGAGTTCATGATCTAATTCTGATCTTGCAGTAACCATTATGCTAGCAGTTTGGTATTGGTCGAAAAAATGAAGTCTTCAAAGCCAAGATCTGTAGACACTAATACACGTAAAAATGAATGAGATCTCTCAGATTGCTCTTTATTGATGATGGCTCAGCGTCTTTTGTGGTAAATAAGGCTGACTGCTTACGTCACGGTCGACCACTGAAAATATTTCCATGAAAAAATAAACACTAAAACTATGTATAATAGCAAGTCCTACACACCTCCGTCGCACGAATCGCATAATGGCAACGAGATGCCAATTGTGACGCCAGTGCGTGTCATGCCTCTAGAGCCTGTGGCTTCCAGAGACCAGGAGATGCGCTTTTTAGAGACCAATAGACAGCTCAAAAACGATGTATACAGCTACTACAATGTGTCTGGCACGAACTACAAGGGACCTCCTGAGGTTGAACGAATCCAATTAGCGTTTGAATCTGGTATTGACGAAGAAATTGATTATTATCTGGGACACCTTGTCTTCATTTCCAAGGATAATCCCGAACTTCTGAAGTTCAAAAGCGGTTTTGCGTTTTTGATTGATCCTCTATCACATTTCTTTGATTGCAAAGTTTTCGATCCCCATGCTGTAAATGGGGACATCAATAGATCTCTTGATGCCGCTTTGATAATCCGCAATACTGTTCAAGACATTGATAACTCGCAAGTCATTTCAATGAATTTCAAGATCAAGGAGGTTCTCATGAAAATTGTGAACCATCGAGTTATCTTGGATAATTGTTTTACCAGCGAATCTTACGACCAACTCAAAGAGCTTCTCAGGTATTCAATGGATATCATCGAGGCCATCTCTTCATATTTAGCGCCTGCCCCACTGGACGATCCGATGTTTATATCTCTCACAAACCTTCTGCAAACTGTGCAAGATCGATCTGTGATAATCACGGCACTCAGATCATTGAGCAGACTCATGTACAACACTAGAAAAGAAGGCGACGCCGCTGATCATCTAGACGACGAGCTTGTCGACCGCGTGGTCTCATACCTTGCTTTTGCCGTGAATGAGGACAATGACAACGATGAGTTGCTCATCACGGCGTTGGACTTTTTATACCAGTTTATTCTGCCAGGACGGTCGGCGAAACTTCTAAAGAACCCAATTAATTGCTTTGTCTTGCAAACTTTCCTTCCAAGACTGCTAACTTACAAACAAAAGTACAAAACTGAATTTACGCAGGAAATGCCAATGTTGAAGCTTGCAAAAAGATCAAAGGGAGAGAGTCCCACAAATCCGCCTCTTTTACCAGAAAATCTGATAACTGCTCTGAACAACCTTCCAGAACCTAGTAGAGCCACAGCTTGGATGAGATGTTCATATAAGGCGACTGAGGAAGGAGACGTGACACAAATTTCCCTATGGAGATCATATGAAGCACAATTCCAAAAGTACTCTTCAGCAGGATCAAACTTGCGTTTGCTTCCTGCCGTCGATTTTATAAAAAATGTACAACATGCGTTCCCCAATTCCAATGCAATGGTATTGACTTTACCTGACGGAACACGAAAATTCATCATTAAAGGAATCGAACCGAGATCTGTGCCTGTGGATATTGACCAGGGCAAGGTTGAGGCACTCACAGATAGAGCTTCTGCCTCAGATCGTGGCGGAAGTTCAAAGAACAACATGCAGGAACCATATCATCCAGTACAATACAATTTCAACGATAACTTGGCCTTGACGGAAATAAATACCTCTGCTAGCTTACTAATTACTGAGCTTATGTCGACGAAAAAAGGCCAGGACCTCTTTATTGGACAGAAAGAAAAGTTGCTAGACAGCGTGCTGAAGGTTCCAAGGCTTCTGCCTTACATCCACGAAGCGCTTCAAAAACTTGACTATTAATATATATTATTGCTTCTTTTCTCTTTCCATGATTTTGGCTCTAAGTATGCTATCGACGCGTTCCAGAGCTTGTAGCTTTTCATTAATTAGCTGTGATAATTTTTTGGAATCTTCTGTCAGCTTCGTCAATCTGTTTTGAAAGAAAGCTAAAGCTTCTTCAGTGGTCTTCTCGATGTAGTAGCCAGTACCAACATCAATTAGAAATCTATTGCTATCTTTCACCTTCCCAGGAACATAGAGTGAAGAAGTCAATGGTACGAGGAGTTCTTTCCTATCATTTGCATTGATTCGTTGCACATTATCTCCACATTCCTGGTATTTAGCCTGTGCTGTTTTCAACGCTTGATAAGAAGTTTCCAAGTGCTCGAGCTCTCCATTCAGCTGGCGTTTAAATTGAAGGATTTGCTCGGGCTCTAGTTTCGTAAGATCAACTTCGACGTTAGCACACGCTTTCAAATTACGTACTCTTCTGGCTCATGGCAAGGTTTGGATTTTCTTGAAAAATATCTGTCGTGCGAGTTCAAAACTTTTCACTACATTACAAGCATGGAGACTGATTCGAGCTCGTTCGCCAGTATTCTGGCAAATGTCGCAAAAATGCGGCAGAGGGAGGGCGATGACAATTCGGGACAGGAGGAGACTGTGTCTTTTGTTTCATCAGAACCTGAAAGATCCAAATCGACCTTTGATCGAGTGATAGATGCGCCCTCTCTTCGTCCTGCCCAGAACGAAGCCTCGGTCAGAGTTCGTCCTACAAAAGACTTGTCGCCTCAGGTTGTTATTCGTGGATCTAATCAGGAGGATAAGCTTGTGGATTCAGCTAAATACACCACGCTCAAGAAGCAGACATTTAGTGCCATTCAAATCAATCAAAATCAAACCGGCAATCCTTTACTACAGTCACTGAAACAGGTACCATACGAGTTCAATGCCAAGGTGAAGGACGTTGACTACCTGATAAATTCACACTGTGTTGTTGTCTTCTTGTCGCTTCGTTATCACAAACTTCATCCGGAATACATCTACAACAAGATTAAAAAGATCACCTATAATGGGAACAATAGGCGGCTCAATCGTATTTTGATGGTCTTGGTGGACGTCGATAACTCAAACGATAGCATTCGTGAGCTGAATAAACTATGTCTATTCAATGAGCTCAATCTAGTGCTTGCATGGTCATTTCAGCAATGTGCTGACTATCTAACTTTTTTGAAACAATGCGAGCTAAATGTCGGTAACCAGCTCATCAAAGGAGCCGCAAAAGCTGATAGTATTGCCAGCGATGTTGATTACTATCAACGGATTGTGGATTTGATGACTACCATACGGTCTATTAACAAAACAGACTCCATCAAATTAATCTCCCGCTTCAAGACTTTCAAGAATCTCTGCGAAGAGGCGAACGAGTATAATCTGGAGGAGATTTCAGGTATGGGCCACAATAAGATCGAGAGACTACTTAAGGTCATCAATGATCCGTTTATCTACAAGTGAGTTATATGTCAAAAAATGTTTTCACATCGAGTTTCTTTGCGCGCGCATGAGGACGAGGTTTGGTTCGCTTTGAGAAAGTATTTGCCTCGGGGTCGGCAATACGAATATACTGAAATATCCGACGGCTAGGATTTGATGACTGGGATCTGCTCTTCCACAATTTTTTGAGCGACTCGCTACCTTCAATGTTCGACACTTTATAATCCATAATGATCTGTGAACTGCAATACTCTTTGCCCATGATCTGACGGAATTTCAGACCATCCGAAAGAACAGATAGCTTGGCATCTGTACTTTTGTTCCAGTGCGGATGTTTCACCACAATTTCAGTCTCAAAATACTGTAAGGGAGAATCCAGGATGCAATCGACATTTTCCAAATTGTTATGACTCAAGATTAGGCAGCAAAGGTTTTTCAAATTGCCATTTTTCATGCTAATGCTCCAGCTTTTAAGCATCTGGTCGTTTACATTTGCGTGAGAGACATTCAAGTATCTCAAGCTTGATAGGACATTTAGACAAAGATTTCTTTTTGTCAAATCAATCCCTTGTAATGATAACACAACCAAGCTCTCAAATTTCAGGTGATGTAGTTCAGAGAAAAGCGAACTTAATGAAACATGCTGGTAGAATGTTTCAAATCTGTGTTTGCGATTAATCGAGTTCAATTCAATAAAAACGCCACGTTTATAGTTGTCAAGATTTCGCCAGTTGGCTGGTATACGGTGACAGTAAAAGTCGTCTTTTTGTGCAAAATACTCCGCAAACAGCTCAAAAATAGCAGGGGTGTCTTTTTCGTATTTAAGAATAAAATGCCACACAGGCCGCCAAATATTCCAATTGGAGTTCGTTGCCTCTATGTGATAGCGCATGATACATTCAGCCCCATGAGCAATTTGACTAGAGCATAATCTCTTCAGTGATCCAGCTTCCTTAACTGGGGACTGCTTGCCCGGTAATGAGTTTCTATGGTTGTACGTTTGCGCCAGTTCCTGGTCCTCAAAAGTGAGGTCCTGCGCCCCTATTTGATAGTGTTTTAGCTTTCCAAATGAGAGATCATTGCTTGGAACCTTTAAATCAAGCTTCCTGCGCTTTCTTCCAAATCTCATTACCCCGACGCGTCGAATCTTGAAGTTTTTTTTGCCTAAAAAGTTTTACACCTGTAACTCCTTTATCTTTAACTATGAGCAATCCGGTCCTGCCTGCCGGCCTCCAAGGACGCGTGGTACCAAAGTTTATACATCGAACTTGGGCTAAGACCTTCTACTGCAAGCCCGAATACTATTTCCAGCCTCAAAGCATTGACGAAATCAAAGAGATAGTCAATTGTGCACGAAAGAATGGGCGCACCGTCATGACTGTTGGATCAGGTCACTCCCCCTCAAATTTGACTATGTCCAATGACTGGATCGTCAACCTGGACAAATTTAATAAAGTAATCGAGGAGAAACCTGGGCCTAATAGGATGTACACTGATTTCACCGTGGAGGCCGGTATTCGCATCTATCAGCTGAACGAAATATTAGCTACCAAAGGTCTGGCAATCCAAAATCTAGGATCCATCAGTGAGCAGTCTATTGCCGGTATTATTTCCACAGGTACACACGGATCTTCTCCTTTCCATGGACTAGTCTCGCAACAAGTCGTGGATATCACTATCGTCAATGGAGTTGGCGAACTCATTAAGTGCTCCCCAACTGAAAGGCCAGAACTATTCCGTGCTGCTTGTCTGTCACTTGGAAAAATTGGTTTGATTGCCTACGTGACCATACGTACGGTTCCGCGCTACCAGATCAAGTCGAGACAGGAGGTGATTACTTTTGACACATTGTTAGACAGATTTGATTCTATCTGGACAAGTGACGAGTTTGTTAGAGTTTGGTGGTTCCCATACACTCAAAGGTGCATTCTCTGGAGAGCATCCAAGTCTACGGAGCCAATTTCAAAACCACGCCCATCCTGGTATGGAACCAAGTTTGGAAGACTCTTTTACGAGTCTTTGCTTTGGATCTCCGTTCATGTCATGCCTCGCCTGACTCCATATGTTGAGAGATTTGTGTTCTCCAGACAGTATGGTCTTACTGAAACTTACGGAAAAGGCGACATTGCTGTTCAGGAATCTGTCGAAGGGTTGAACATGGACTGCTTGTTTTCGCAGTACGTTAACGAGTGGGCCGCTCCTCTAACCAACGGCCCAGAGATTCTTCGCTCTCTAGCTACCACCATCAATGAGGCCGCCAAGAATAACGATTTTTATGTCCATGCCCCTATTGAGGTGAGATGTTCCAATACTACATGCTCGAATTCCACTGCTGATCAAGATCTTTCTACCAGGACGACGACATCTCCAGGTCCCATCTATGGAAACCATTTGCGCCCATTGCTTGACAATACTCCTAGATTGAATTGGGCTCCACAAGAGAATGTTACAAACAGCCAGCTGACTCTTTATATCAATGCTACCATGTACAGGCCATTCTACACTTCTGTTCCTATTGGTAAGTGGTATGCCACTTTCGAAGAAACTATGGAGGCTGCTGGTGGAAAGCCACACTGGGCTAAGAACTTTATTGGCTCTGATGCTAGCAATTTCAACAATGATGGAGAGATGATTGGATTCAAAGATAAAATGGAAGAGTGGTTTGGAGAAGATCTCCAAACGTTCAGGAAAGTCAGACGTGAAGTGGATCCCGAAGGAGTGTTTTTGAGCGGTCTGGACTGGCTCAAAATGAATGGCATTGTGGAAGAGGATGAGATCGAAAAGATTGAAAAGTTGAAAACTTCGAAATCAGATATTGAGTAAATAGACACTTGCCTAATCTATAGAGTATATATCATCAAATCAGAAGCAGAACACCTGATCGTCTTGTTTGGAGTTGATCACTCCCTTTGGCCATCCCAGCTCTTCTGTATACTCAAGTATCTTTTGTCTCATTTCCAATGGACCGCAAACAAATACGCGTTTATCTGCCTCTGGAGCCGGAAGCTCTCTTTCGAGCAGTTCTTTCGTAATATATCCCTTCAATCCATCCCATTGCTTCTGGGGGTTATTAAGCAAGTAGATCACCTCAAAGTTTGGATACTTCTCAGCAAACTCATCGAGTTCTTCCTTCAGTAATATGTCATTTTCTGTCTCGTTGGCGTAGATCAGCTTCACCTTAGTCACGTCTGCAGGCGTAGTGATGATAGATCCAATGACTTGTAACATAGGAGTGATGCCCGATCCTCCCGCAATCATGGTGATATGGCTGGCCATGTTGGTTTGATACGACATACGGCCGACAGGACCCTTGAATTCCACCTGCTGTCCAGGGTATAGACCTGCAAATTTCCTCGACACTTTGCCATCAGGATAGGATTTCACCAGCAAATCAAAAAATCCTTCGTCGAACTGATTTGATATAGGTGTGTAGTAGCGCACGTACTCCTTCTCGTCGATGACAAACCTGCAAGCCAAGTGGTGACCAACCGGGATGTCTAGGGTGTCGGTCTCGTTTGGCAGCTTGAACCTGTAAATTGCAGAGTTCTTGGATATCACTGTTTTGTCTAGTAGTTCATATTTTTGGAAAGTGGTGCTGCTCAAGACAGGCTTTTTGAACCAGGCAATTGTGAATTGAACGGTGAAAAACACAACTAGAATTGCGATTGTGTGAGGGAGATAGTCATAGTTCAATATGCAGATACCCACAATGATCAGTGCTGTTGGAATGTATATACCATGCAACGGGGTTGCAGCTAGATTTTTGGGGTCGTTCATGGTTACAACTAACTCTAGTAAGTGCTTGGAATTTTTTTAGTTTGTTTTTATAAGAACGACCGATCCGTGAACATAGGCGAAAAAGAAAACCAACATGAATTAATCCCCAAAAAGAATCCTGGTTCGATATGCGCGCTGTAAATTTTGTAGCAGTAATATTGTTGAAAATACCTCATTATTGGGAGTTATGGCTCAAGTGCATGATACAGGTGCCCTCAATTCTGTAGCACCAGTCATTGCAATTGCAAGAGACGTCAAACAAGGTTTCAAATTTGTGCTCCATGTCGGTATTTGTTTCGGGAAGAATCAATGCATAGTAGGTAGCTTAAATAAACTATTAGCCGTACATGATTGATTCTAGAAAAGAGTACCAATAAGATCGAATATTTAATGAGTAAGAATGCTTGGAGCAGATCGCTGGGAGATTTATTGTTTACAGAACTCTGATATGTAAGCTTCAGCCCCAAAACCCTCGCCGTTAGGTGTTAAGACCGGGATTCGGACTAAATCCGAAATTCGCATCATGATGGAATATCAAATAGGTTGTCTCCCATGTAATTGAACTTGAGCTATGATGGACGATCCAGAATATAAGGAAAAGGACTGTCTGTCGAAAAAAAGCTCTGTTTCTGAACAATAGGCATGCGCTATATGCCAAGCTGGGAAACACAGATCTCATGACTGAGGATGCCTTGCCGGATGTCAGGTATCTTCATGAATAGTTTTCGAAATGTCGGCCGACGACAGTGTCGCGGTTCTGGTCCATGCCTCTTGACGACCACGAAGGTGATTCCAATTTCCCTGAGAAGAATACAAGGGATTGGGAAACTTCTCAAAGGGTAAGAATATTTAATATCTTGGGCTTTTCTACCAAGATTGGGACTCTCAGGTATGATTATTTCTCGCTTTCAACGAACATCATTCTCCTTAGCCCGTAACCTTAAGTACGTGCTATCGTTTCTCCATGAGACGATCCAGGAATTCTACGTGACGTCATCCAGGCTCTTTCTTATTTCAATCGGATGACTGGGAACAAGACAGACAATGTCAGCTTCGTTGTCGTCATTGTTCGATGCTAGGGCCTGGACTCAACCTATTTGCGTCCTTCGATCAGAATTTGTTGATTACTAGCCGTCATACGCTTTCTCCTTTTACGCCTACACGAACGTGATCACTGGCATGTTTATCAAGCTACTCGTTCTTTTGTGACTCTACTACAGCAACCACAGTTAACTGCGAAACTCCTGTAAATGGTAACAACATTTACACTGATATTAAGAAACTCAATGAGGTTGATAGTGTTCTTACGATTGGAAGATCGACGAATCAAATTACGAATAGTATGTTCTACTGTGTCTTCCTGCGGTTGTTGATTAGTTGGGGAGCTAACTGTACACTTGATTGATACGTGCCATATTCCATACTTTTAATTTTTGAGAGCAACATATTGATCCAGTCGTCCCAGTCTTTTTTAGGACGATATTAGAGCAAGAACAGACACTCTCTCCTGAAGGACTCACATTCTATAATGATGACCAAGTACCAACAGGTGTGTCATGCTCATGGCATTGGTGTTTTCTGTTGTCACTTTCAAAGTTCATCTGGCCAGCACCCCCAGTGGAGTGAATTTTCTGCGTTGGCTATCAAATTGTTCATTGTCGTTCTTTTAAACGTTATTATGCGGATACCAGTTATTTCCCGGCCATGCAAGTTCTTCTTGAGCTCATCCTGATTTGCATTATTTCAAAATATGGTGACACCTTGATGCTTTTACCGTATGGGAATTGATATAGTGCGCCAGGCAGAGAAGCGTTTTTCGGTTAATTAGATTGGTTACTACCAAAGTTCGGTCAAGAGCAAATCTCTCCTTTTCATACCAAATGGGTACCATTTCCAAATCATTTTTGTTCATCTGGTGGCCGTTAATTGGGAGATCAAACCGCGTCAAAGACATTCTCTCCCCAGATCAAATTGAAAACTTTACCTATCCAAGCGAAATGTCCTATTATGCTTTCTGCGTTCTGGGTTTGATCGGGCCCAGGAGAGTATTCAACAAAATGAAGCCTGTGCATCCATATTGTTCCCCGGCTGGATTCTAAAAGTTCTATCTAAGTATCGGAAAACCTACCATGGGCAAAGGAAAGGTTTGAAGACAGCTGGTATCATTAGATGTTTTCTGAGTTATGCTCCATACAACTGGAGCTATTTCCTTTCTGGCTTGTGCCCATGTTTAGCACAAAATCACATTATGAAACAGCGTCACTCTAACCGGTGGGAAAAATAAATTTTTATGCTTGTCTCTGCGCTAGAAGCCGGTATTGTCTTTGCGGAGATCGGTGTCTTTTCAAAGTTCGGTATCACGAGAAGGATATTAGTTGGTGGCAAGACTTGGCTTCATAATCTGGAACAGAGGCAAATATTAACAAACATGTTTGAACATCCCTCCACAGCCCTTGATGGGTACTTTGGTCTACGTCAACAAGATCCTTAACAAAGCGCAAACCAAGGTGGACATTGACCGGTATAGTGTTGTGTCTAAACCTCCGTTTTTTTGGTGGCGGCTGTTTGTTTCTCTTTTTTCTCAGCAGCAAATCCATATTTGGATCTTTCTCTAAGAGAAGGACCCCACTTGGTGAACAACCATGGAACTGGGGCCAGGGCAAGCGCAATGAATGCAAAAACAGAGACACCCCAATAAATGTGGAGGTTTTCCATCATCTGGACCGTGAAAAGTGGGAAAACCGATGACACAATATATCTCAGGAGATTGTTGGCAGCCAAAGCCGACGCGACAGAAAGTGGAGGGTATGACATGCTGAAGTAGGTCAGGATAGAGAAGAAAATCAAAATCAGGGAAAATCCAAATGGCACACCGGCAGCAATTGGAGCCATCCAGTGAACGGAGTGCCTTCCTGTCCATGCAAGCCAGAACAAAGCTGGTGGCATTGCCACTGCTCCCAGTTTACATGGCAGAAGTCTAGACTCTGGGGATGGTGGCAAATTGTTGCCGTTTTTGTCTCTGAGGCCAACGTAACCATCTGGGTAGCGTCTGAAGAAGATCCTCTTGTCAATGTAAACGTAAGTGGCAGCACCAATAAGGATACCAAGACCAACACCTAAAAATGGGAGACCAGAAATGCCAAGCGACATGCCATACTGTCCTCTGAAAATGACTGGGAAAGCTTCGAAGAAGCCGAAAAGCACAGCAAAAATGAAAGCAGTGTAGGTGGAGAACACCAACACAATTGGTTCCACCACCAGCATTTCCATTGGTTTCAACAATGTGATGAACACCAAAATCACGAGGAATTTAGCGAGAGGCATGGTCTTCTTCAGCTTGAGGTTTCTCTTCTTGATTCTCTTTGTCATGATGATAGGTCTATAAGTTTCTGGAGCCAAAAAGAGAGGAATGAAAACTGCCGCAGCAAAAAAAAGATCAACCCACATTGTCCATCTGAGGCCACCAATCCTGTTCATATTCTTGGAGACTTTGTTCTCCGCAACGAAGCCACCAATTATAGGACCGACCACTGGGCCGCACAATGGAGCCATACAGAACAGGGTCATGGCTATACCAAGCTCGTGGGGTTTCCAAATATCTGTGACAGTACCTCCACCAATTGCTAAAGCAGCCGAGGCAGTGAAACCTGCGAAGAATCTGAGAACTAAAACCTGGCCAATGTTTTTTGAAAGACCGACACCCATGATAAAAAGCATACTAATAGGAAGAGTCGAGCAGTAAATGATCTTACGACCGAACACCTCGGACAATGGAGCAGCAATTGCTGGACCAAAGGCCAGACCAACCAAATAAAACGTTAAGCCTGCGAGACCCAGCGTTTGCGAAATTCCCCACTTGGCCATCATTTCTGGTATAGCATCCACATAGATGGAGGATCCAAGGGTTATTACAAGACACAGAAAGGCGATCGTCAGTGTGACAGCCCATTTTTTCCAATTTGGCCAGTTGAAAGGATTATCAGGATCATCGGGTCCATCCCAATCCATGGTACGAGGATCGTAACCTTCCTCCTCTTCTGTGCTCTTCTCTGCACCGGTAGATTCCTCTTGGCTGCGGTGTAACACTCTGTTCGAGAAACGTGACAAGTTCGTGGCAACTCTGTTTATCTGTCTGTCCTGTGCAGCTTCATAGAAATCATTATCATTAGTCCCTTCTTCATGGAGAGTGTTTTGCTGCGAAGCTGTATCATTGACAGAATGTTCCGTATCCTCTTGCTCAGTGTCCTCTTGTTGTGCAGCGGGATTTGGGATTTCAGAATCCTCGGCATCATAATTCGCAGAATATCTTTGACTCTCACTCAAAGATTCGACTGCAGATTCGTATCTGTCCTCAGTCAGGCCAGAGTCTAGTGATTGTGAAGATGCCATCCTCTAAATTAAAGATCACGATTATTCAGAGGAGCGTTGATATGAAATTTACCTGCAATAAAGTTTGTCAGTACTCGTTATGTATTTGTACTCAGGAAACTGGTCGAAAAAAACCTCATACCGAGCACATGCTGAACTGTAAAAATAACAATGAGACTACTTTTGCAGCCATATAAGGCCAAAATCAGGCTGACCAACTGTCACGCTATTGTCGTCCAGCTTGCAGGAAATTTGCTCTCGCGCATAAGCTTGACGACGTCTACTTTTAGTCGTCGATTACTGATGCTTCAACTCTTGGATTTTCTCCACATGCACTTGCTTCGAGACGTGACAGCATTGATTCTTCGTTGGCTTACCTAAGCAGGTGAAACGTTTTTTGTTTTGTTTTTTTCAACTTTGGCACCAGGCGGCCGCTCCTTGGCCTTGTTACCCTACTTGCAATGTTTATAGCAAATTACTTACCTGTACTTTACCTTGTGCCAAAGAAATAGTTCCCATAACGATTAGGATGGTTACAGACGAGGAAATATTGGCAACTCTTCCTGACAAAGTGGCAGAGCCTCCATTTGGCCAGACAGGATTCCCTGGTTACTTGACTGACAGTGAGAAGTCGGCTGTTGAACAGCTCAGAACTCTGCTCAAGGCTGAGGGTTACACACTTAGACTCGATGAACCAACTTTGCTCAGATTTTTGAGAGCTAGGAAGTTCGATGTGATGAAGGCCAAGGAGATGTTTATCAATTGCGAGAAATGGAGAAAAGAGTTCGGAACAGATACAATATTGGAGGATTTCAAGTACGAAGAAAAGCCACTAGTTGCCAAGTATTACCCGCAATATTACCACAAAACAGACAAGGACGGACGCCCGCTTTATATTGAGGAGCTAGGATCTGTGAATATCACTGAAATGTACAAGATCACCACTCAAGAACGCATGTTAAAAAACCTTGTTTGGGAGTACGAGTCGTTTGTCAGATATAGACTTCCTGCATGTTCTAGAAAAGCAGGCTTTCTGGTTGAAACATCGTGTACAATTTTGGATCTCAAAGGAATATCGATCTCTGCCGCATCGCAGGTGCTTTCATATGTGAGAGAAGCATCCAAGATTGGTCAGGATTACTACCCAGAAAGGATGGGCAAGTTCTATCTAATCAACTCTCCATTTGGATTCTCGACAGTGTTCAAGCTCTTCAAGCCATTTTTGGATCCTGTTACTGTTTCCAAGATTTTCATTTTGGGTGCCAGCTACCAGAAAGAGTTACTCAAACAGATCCCTGAGGAAAACCTGCCTGTCAAGTTTGGAGGAAAAAGTCAAGTCAGCGAGGCTGAGGGTGGACTGCTGTTGGCTGATGTTGGACCATGGAGAGAACCTGAATTCATTGGCCCTGAAGGTGAGGCACCAAGAGCGTTCAAGGTTTGATAGTCAGGGCGTAATGTCGTGCCTCAGAAGTCATATATACTGCCTAATCGTCATCTATCTTGCTGTAGCAGCAAACTTTCAATCATCTATACAGCATTCTCTCCTAACTCAATTTCCGCTTTTGGAAAGGTTTTTTTCATGCGACCTCTCAGCATTTTCGCATTTAAGCTTTTTCATTATTGAGATCTCCAACACGAAGGCTAAATATATATTGGCTGCAATTCGATGGCGAAGAGTGAGCTGAAGGACTACATGCTCCGCAATGGAGGCTCTGTGGCACTAGACTGTGTTAAGTGGTCCTATAAGTTTGACCACCTCCATGGTGACTCGCAGGGATGGAGTGAGGCTTCGCTGGAGATAACAACGAAGGGTGAGCTGATAATGGATGGGGATGCGGTGATGATCCCTAGTCTTCAAAAATGTGAAGTCCAGCTATTTCCAGAGCCCCGGGTATTGAAAGTGAAAAGCTTGGATCTCAAATGTGTGTTTATCAAGACACAACAGTCTGAATTCGAACCTTTGCTTTCATGCCTTATGGTATGGCAGAATCTGAAACCACAAGGATTCTACAACAAGTACTCTTTTAATAGGTCCATTGTTCACGACGAAAACCTTCGGACCAATGACCTGTTGGTTTGCAGATTTCGAGTTTACGGACCAGCTCCTAATTACAAGAAAATCCAGCTCAGTGGATTGCCAAAAACTCCATTGTATCCTTCAGAAGACAAACAAACCGAAGGATGGTTTACAGCCATGGGATATCTGAAGCATGACGGAATTCTGGACTTGCTATGCGAGAGTGATGGTGCGCTACTGTACTCTGTCGATATTACAAAGCTGTATTGTTCTGAAATCAGGCCTCTCCATCATTCTCTGTTCCAGCAGCCGAATATCCTCTTTGTCGGGCGAATAAACGAGCTTCGTCGAACGCATCGGTATGCAAACGAGATTGATAGCGAGGACGAAGCTCCATTCATCTTGAAAAACAATAGGCCTTTCTCAAGTATCCACCGAATTCTTATTCAGTTTGATTTAGGCATTGATCTGAAAGACTGGATTGTTGCTCTCAAAACTTTTGCGAAGATCGAGTACATTGGGAACAGATTCACTAAGGACCGGATGAGGCTTGTCAAAAACTACAAGCTGGAGGTTGTTGAAGCCAAATTCAACAATCCCTCTCTGGACCAAAATCTTCATCTTTATGTCGAACTGCATATGTGGGGAGGGCCATGGTATAGAACTGCTATCGTCAAGAACTCGAACCAGAATCCATTTTGGAAGGAGTTGTTTGACCTGGACCCTCCTCCGTCTGCAGAATTTTTCACGCTCTTGTTGAAGTCATCTAGCAACAGTTCAGTTTACAATTTGACTGAGGAAGATCCGGTGATTGCAGGAGCTTTCGTAACACCTGACTTTATGAGTGAACCACAAATGATGAAGAAGCTGCCGCTTTACGGCGAACAAAGCCATGAGATCGGATCCGTGACTATCAATTTGAGTCTTCGTGAGGTCCATATAATGTCATACCATAATTATAGAATGTTTGAAGGAATGATGAAAGGCATTGATGTGCGCGACCTTTTGCAATTTGTCAACCCATTGATCGAGCCTCAGAATGTGGACGACTTGTCGCAAATGCTGCTCGATATTTACCAAAGCGTTAATATGGAGCACGAATACTTTGAGCATCTGATGTCGTTTGAGCTGGAAAGTCTGAAAAATTCCGGGTCTAAGCGGCATTCAACCTCGCTCACTAATAATCTCAATACTTTATTCCGTGGAAGATCGCTTCTCTCAACGTCTTTGGAAAAGTATCAGATCAGAATCGGTCAAGAATATCTTGAAAAGTTGCTAGGAGAATTCATAGGCCAAATTTGCGCCGAAAATCTTATATGCGATCCAAACCCGAAAGCCTATCCAACTACCTATGAGGAACACTACCAAAATCTTCTTAACTACGTGGAGGAACTATGGAATAGAATCTATACCACTACTAACGATCTTCCTGAAGAACTCAAACAGGAATGGGGCCGTTTGAGAAGCAAGGTTGAGCATTCCGTGGATCCAAGCGATACGGAAACTCCTCTAAACGCTTTGTGCTCCTTTATCTTCCTTCGATTCTTGTGCCCTGCAATTTTGAATCCAAAACTATTTAACTTGTCGAGAAACCACCAGTTGGGTAGAGTTTCTAAGACTCTGACGCTGATTGCAAAAGTCCTTATGACGCTTGCAAACAGGTCACAGTTTGCTCCACATAAAGACCCAGAACTTCTTCGTCTAAATGAAGATTTTCTTAGCAAACGGAACGATGAATTGCGCTTGTACTGTGACAGAATAAGCGGACGCAAAATGGACTTCACGGAGAAGAAACTCGAAATGACTAATACCATGGGAAAACCCTCGCTGGATGCTTCTGAAGAAATTTTAAGTGAACTTCCGTCTAGATCGTACCTTATTGACAAGTATTTAAGACTTGCTGAGTTCGCCTCGCTTCTCGATTCGAAGAATTCGGAGACTATAGTTTCAACTGAGTCCAAAAGAAAGTCTGTCATGAGCGAGCTGAAGCTAGACCTACTGGGGCTGGACGACACAGACTTTGGATCCAGAGACTTCATCAAGACATTGCTGGAAGATGGAGATGATGAGCTCAACCAATTGATATTGGAGAAACAAAGCATCAACCTGGAAGATCTAAAGCGCCAGGCGTCGGTTGTGGTAGCGAAAACCAAAGCTCTGGAGCAAGCGATCTCAGAAACAGAGCTTCCGTCTGATTTTACGTCGGACTCATTCATGGAATTTGTGAACACCATCCTAAAGGCCGCTAGAATTGATCGGGATCACTGCCTGGTGTACGATCTGACCGGAAATGAAAATGGTAGCCTGGAATTATTCCTCAAGAACCGAAGACAGTCCGCAAACAGCCCTCGCGTGAACTCAAAACACTTGAAAGAGCAAGTCAATAAGTCTGGGAGCGCCCAATCAGTTTCCACTCTCCGAAATAGCGTATCTTCCGCAAGTCTGTCTTCTCCAAAGAGCACCTTCAAAAAGCTGTTTAAACGCAGGTCTATAACTTGACTTAATAGATACACGCTCCTAACCCGATTTTTTTCGTTCATCAAATAAACTAAGTTCTATTTCACACCATCACGATGTCTCAGGCTTATCCGTGGTATACAAGAGTTACCGATGTGGCACACCGTATCACTGTTTTGGGACTTGTTGGACTATCGCTCTACATGAGCGCTAATGTCGGATACACTTTATATATGACTGGCAAAGAAAACGAGAGAAGGCTCGCCCTACAAAAGGAGATGCAGGCCAAACAGGCCGAAAAGGATCAGCAATAATGTACATAGCTTGGGGAATACCATGCAAAGCGGTCAAGGCTTTGAGCTTTTATTTTTGCTTCTTTTAGCGCTTTTCTCTCCGGATACAGACTTTCGTTTCTTCCGGGCTTTGAGCGAGTGATGTAGCCCTTCTGTCTCGAGTGTCTTCATGCGTCTTTCCAAAGCGAATAACTCCTCCTCGTCCGGATCTATCTCGATCACGTCGCGGCTACAATACTCGGTATTGCAAATTGGACATCGCGCTTTAGTGTATTCTCCAACCTTTGTGGAAGACAGAAGAGAAAGCAGAGCCTTTTTCGACATCACACATCCACAAGGTACCAGGTATACAAATTTGGGTACTGTAGCTGATGTTATGTCGTACTCTGCAGAGGTAAGTTCACACTTTAATGTATTTTGATCCAGTTTGATTTTGAGCTCCACGACGTCTTTGAGGGATGTAAGATGGCTCAGTTTATCGTTCTTGAGATATTCCTTATTGAGTAGGAACTCAAGAAATGCGTCCTTGTTGAAAAGCTGGCCTCTGTAGTCCGAGACTACTGGACGGTTTAGCTTTTCATTGGATAGGGCACAAACAGCAAAGGCACTAAGGGATTTGCCCTTTTCCTTCTCTTTTTCCGAGGCGTAGAAGTTTACGATCAGCTTTCTGGACGGGATGGAGCCTCCATCGTTCTAGATGTTAGTAAGCAACCGAATTTTCGTACATACACCCATTTTTCGCGATTCAAAGTTTAGAAATAATTATGCGTCATAAATATTCGTTTCTATCATAATCCTAAATAGAACTCTCCGAAAATCAGGACCAGCCTGAAGAGCTTGCCAAGCAGATATCTAACTAATCCAAGTTCTCCTTGATGAGTCTGTTGATGCGAGCAAATCTTGCCTCATTTAAGTCGTCTCCACTCACCATTGGTTTTCCGTTCACAAGCAGAATGGGCAGCTTCTCGACCTTGAAGTAGTCTACCATGTAGTTTTTGAGAGCATCGTTATATGGATGCTTGCTTAGGTTCATTAGTAAAGGGTCCCTCCATAAGCTTCTAGCGAGGCTTTCGTAATTGCGGTTCAGCGAATCGACAATCAAAACCAGTTTGGACACAAGCGTAATTGCCTCTACTTCTTTCTGTAGAAGGGGTCTTTTCTTGACAGGCACGGCTGCCGACCTTTCGGACTTCTTTAATCTTGCACTGGCAGCGTTAACCAAAACATTGTACCCGGAATCATACGGCACCCTCTGGGAGCTGCGAGCTTTGTGGGCGTGGCGATCAATAATGAAAGGTTCCTGGTTTGCGTGGGGATCAGGCATCATGAGATAATGGGAATGGGCTGAAGACTTTCTGACCGTGACAACAGCGGTCAAGATGCATAGACTAATGAGGACGCACAAAAGAATCCGGTTCAACGTAGATAATCTGCGTCGCGGAATCCAACCTTGGCCTTTTTCGATGTCTACCCAGGGCTTTTCAATCATGATTGAGAAAGATAAGTTATGGGGGAAATTGCAGTTTATAAAGTTACGAGTCTAGCAAATCATCAGAGGTCATTTCATGCAGGTGCAAACACTTGTTTCACACAAAGCTATTATTAACTTCCCCAGCTCAATCTCACTATGCAAGCTCATGTTTTTATGTTGATTCTGTTTTATTGGGATTGACTTTTTGCTGCTCGATGAACATTCATTTACCTAATTCATCGGATTCACACGCATATTATTACTTTAAATCTAGCTGGAATTCTAGGATTTATCCCACACTGCAAGATAAATGCGCATGTACAATGCCTTACCATGTATGTGAAAACTATTGCGCGCAAAGGCGGCAAAAACAGATCGACGCCACTTGCGTCTACAGCGTCGATCGTCGTCCAAATTGATCGATTCGCGTATGTAAAATCAAAACAATAGGACAACCGTTTGATCAGATGTTCAATGTATCGCTGAACACAACTAATCCTAAAAAGCCAGGACCATCCAAGCAGTCTACTTTGGCGTCGTTCATAAGTTCTTCAAAACCCAATCGAGACGTCAAGGCGAATCAGCCGTTCCCTGCACTCAGGTTAGACAAGAGAAGCGTATCTAACGACCAAGACTTCCCGCAAAATAAGGAGAATGCACCCAAACGCGTGAAATTGGACCGATCGGTCTCCTGTCTGGGGTTTGGCCAGCAGGATACACCTGTTTCGGAGGTGTCTGCCTCTCAACCATCCAGCTTCAAACACTCAAAACCCATTGAAAAGATACAATTAGAAAAGACAGATATCGACGTATCGACGAGACCAGAGGTAAACATTGGCAGGTCCATCAAGCTGCCCGCGCGTAAACCAATGTCGGCTTCGCGTCAGAGATCGTTGCCATGGTCGAATCTGAACCTGAAAAAGATTTCAAATCCACGCAATCAAAACAAGCCGTCATCTCAAAATGGCAACAGTGTTAGCGGATCTCTATCGGCGGAGCAGCGCAAAGTCATTGAGATGGTGCTATACGAGCGCAAGAACATTTTTTACACAGGTTCTGCAGGTACTGGTAAGTCTTTCCTGTTACGTGAAATAATCAAACGCCTGAGGAACAGATATGGCTCTAGTTCTATTGCAGTGACTGCTTCAACTGGTTTGGCGGCCACAAATATTGAGGGCACCACAATTAATCGATTTTCTGGTATTGGGTTGGGCTCTGAGCCAGTCAATAAGTTGGTGGGCAGGATAAAAAGCAGACGAAGTATCGTTGAGAGATGGAAAGGCACCAAAGTGCTAATCATCGATGAGCTATCTATGATAGACTCCATCTTTTTTGACAAGTTGAACGAGATTGCAAAGCAAATACGAGGTAGCAACAAGCCGTTTGGCGGCATCCAACTCGTTTTGACGGGAGATTTCTTCCAGCTTCCCCCTGTTTCGTTGAGCAAAATGGGTGCAGCTAAGTTTTGTTTTGATGCGGTCAGTTGGAAGGAATGTATTGATGAAACCATTCTACTAACTAAGGTTTTCAGACAAAAGAACGATTCAGACTTGATTGAAATGTTGAATGCCTTGAGAATTGGTAAGCTTTCAGATGAAATCAAGCGGAAATTCAAAAGGCTTGAACGCCCTCTCCAATACAATGATGGTATTTACCCTACAGAGCTCTACCCAACAAGAGAAGAAGTTGACCGTGCTAATTTGGAGAGACTGAATTCGCTTCCAGGACGTGTCTATACCTTTCAGAGTCGCGATAATTTCCCTCCCAATGGAAACCCAGCGATATTCGTCAAGCAACTGGATGGTCTAATGTGTGCAAAAATGTTGCAACTCAAAGAAGGTGCACAAGTAATGTATCTGAAGAATGACCTGGAAGATCCTCAATTGGTTAATGGATCTATTGGGAAGATAGTCTGTTTCTGCAGTATCGCACTTTGGACCTTATTCACCAACACGTTCAAAGAATACGAAAGGCCAATGCACACCGATCTTCTGGTAATGGCATCTAGGTTTACTGGTAATGAACCGACCGCCCAGGACGAAGAATTGTACAACGAGTTCCTGGCTACCAATTATAATAGTCCTTCGCAGGTGGAACTTGCTAAAGAAATGATCCGAACAGCCAAAATGTCTAAACTGTCAGAGGTGTTGCCCCTTGTCAAATTTTCTCATAGCTCACTGAAGCTTATAGAGCCAGTGCCATTTTCTCCTGAGTCTAATAGCGAATTAAGCCGTGAACAACTTCCGATCCTGCTTTCATGGGCCTTGTCCATTCATAAGTCTCAAGGGCAAACATTGGAGCGCGTCAAGGTCGATCTGACCAAAATCTTCGAGAAAGGTCAGGTCTACGTTGCTCTGAGTAGATGTGTGGACACGAAAAACCTTGAGATTGTAAACTTTGATGAAAAACGTATCAGGATCAGTGAAGATGTTGTCCAGTTTTATGAGAATCTGAAGCAGCTCAAATGAACGTGGTGTTGCAATGTCTTAATTATGTACAGTGCGGATTTCTTTTTCGCAGTCCATTTGTACGGCTGTGATTCAAAAATAAATAAATAATCATAAGTAAATCTGATCCGCTTAATGTGGCTTGTCGAGTCTACGGACGATGGTATATTGCATCTTTTGCTGCCAGACAAAGTGTACTTAGTGGGACGCAAGAAAGATGCAGAATTCCACATACCGCACAAGTCGGTGTCAAGACTCGAATTTTCGTTCAAAGCCAAAGGTGATACCCTAGAGATTGCAAACGTGTGCCCTAGACCAAAATTAGGTGCTGTGGAGATCAATGGCGTGTCTCTGGGATATCAAGAAGTTTTGCGTTTTGATTCAGGTACTGGTGATCTGACTATCCGTGGAAAAGGTTTTTTAATGAGAGCTATTTGGAAAAATATGGTTACAAATATAGTCTTCCCTGAACTCCAGGATTTGGCTCATTCCGATGATCGCCACATAACACACTACTTTGTCACTGGAGAAGAGACAATTGGTCAATTAATCGAGCTCTGCCGTTCCAACCCTGAGATCAAAATCATGGACAGACAGTGGCTACAGCAAATTAACTGGCCAGGACTAGAATCAAATTTCCAAAAATATTGGCACGATGATCAGATTTGCCTACCTGCTATTGGCAAAGCTTATGATGACTTGAAGGATCTGAGCGGTATTCAATTCAAAAAACCAGGGCCTTCGGACTTGTTGGTTTTTTGTTTCCGTTGTCATCACGAGAGTGTCGGTCGATTCAAAAAGGTCGTTGACGAGAACATGCCGATTAAGGTAGTTCTGGAATTTGATCCATCTGCTGCCGAAGTGAAAGATACGAAAAAGCTCGCTGTGCAAGACATTCCGTCCGCTGGTCTTGGTTTCAAGGATATGCTTTCTTCGGGGGACTCCCAATCAAGCCGGAGGCATGCTAAGAGAATGTCAGGCTCATTAGGATCTTCCCAGATGTTCCTCCCGGATATTGACGATTTTGAAGTTATAAAGAGCGACCCTGTAATTTCTTCGGAAAAGGATACAACGTCAAGGGCAGCTTCAAATGAGACTGGTGTTTCTCCCGGTAGGGAGGTGATTGCAAGATTTCAAGCATTGCTACACTCTACTAGAGATCCTGTACAACGGGCTGACCAGAATGAATCGAACAAAAGTATAACTGAGCCTACTTCGACATCTACTTACGCACATAAAAAAGAAAGCTCCCATGAGCTGCCCCTGGTCGAGGTTCTCCAAGAGGCCAAAAAGGCCAAAGAAGAAAGCCAGGATCGGGAGATAGCTGGAGAGACTTTGCAACCAAAAATCACAAAATTTATCGTTGCAGTCAAAGAATTCCAGCCTCATCAGTATATGGGTGCAAACCGCAAATGGAGAGGCCGCGAGGACTACTCCAATTTTCGAAAGACTAACAACGGTGAGCAGAATGATGTTGTTTTTGATGCCATGGCCTCTTATATTAGGCTCAAACCGTCAAGCTACAACTCTGCTCTCACACGAGAAGGTATTCATCTTGAAGAGGACCGAATCCCCGAGCTTGACCGGGAATTCGATTTTCCACGTCGTAAACGACCATTTCCGTTCAGGCCAGCAGCTATGGTGCAGCGGGCCTCTATTGATGACGACGATGATATCCCTGTGTTCAAGAGTTCCCGAAAATGAACTTATATATCTTGCACGCTTTCACGGTTGACAGACTACGAAACATAATATATGGCGCCACGAAAACTGTTAAACCAAATTCATGAACAGGCTCATTTTTAGGCGATTTCAAAGTACGCATAAAGCTCTCTCACCAGCTCAAAAGGCATATCTGGACCGGGTGATCCGCGTTGACCAGGCTGGAGAGCTTGGAGCGGATTTGATCTACGCAGGTCAATATATGGCACTGTCGCACAAGCCTGCACTCAAGCCCGTGCTGAGACACATGTGGGACCAGGAAATACACCATCACAACACTTTCAATCGTTTGCAGGTTGAGCACAGAGTGCGTCCCTCGCTGCTGACCCCAGCCTGGAAAGTAGGTGCGTTTACAATGGGACTTTTCACGGGTTTGCTTGGTAAAGAAGGTGCAATGGCTTGCACTGAGGCCGTGGAAACTGTCATTGGAAACCATTACAACCAGCAGCTACGTGTGCTTGCCAATAGATTCCAAGACATCGAAGAGATAGATAGCGATAAAACATCGGATTCAGCGGATATTAGGAGCCTGAAGGAAACTATAAAAGTGTTTAGAGATGAAGAGCTCGAGCATTTGGACACAGCAATTGAGCACGACTCAAAAAAGGCTAGGCCATACTGGTTGTTGACAGAAACCATTAAACTCACATGCAAAGCTGCCGTCTGGACCGCAGAGAGGATCTGAACGCCTGGGTCACACCAGATCATTGTATATGTTTAGTGCTTCAAGCACTTCGGAACTTAGATTTCTATGATTAATGAATTCTTCGATGGATATTAGATCTCGGGACTCGTGTAGATGTTTGCCAAAACCTTGCCATATTTTGCCTGCTTTGAGTTCTGGAGTAGCTTCGTCTTCAGAGAGATGCAGTGTATTTGTCCCCACCATTCTGTATATGCTTTTTATTACTGTAAGCAGGTCATCATAGCTGATAAAGCCATCTCTGTCACGGTCATACACATTGAATGACCATTTTAGCTTGTCTTCTATTGAGCCTCGCGAAGCCAAGCTTAAAGAAACAATAAAACTATGAAAGTCAATGTATCCCTTCCCATTTGTATCAAAAGCTTCAAATGCATATGAAGAGAACTCGGTAGGATCGCCAAACGGATAGAACTGTTTATGAATCTTGGTAAATTCCTCTTTTGTCAGTTGGCCATTTGGGACATCCCTGCGAAACCCCTTGTACCATTGCTGGAGCTCTCGTGCAGAGAATTTCGTTTCCTGTCTCAAAGTTGAGATATCCTCCTTGTTCAGTTTACTTGTTTTTTGCCCCATTGGCGAACGAGCATGAACTACAAAATAAAGGTCAGAAATAAATTCTTTAATGTCGACGCGTCGATTAGTCCTTGTTAATTAGGATGTTACTGAGAGAAATCAAAAACATGCCAAAGAAAGCAAATCCTAACACCCTCTCTTGCTTTCCTCCAAATCCAACAGCACTTGTTATCATCTGGAGACCGATGTATGTGAGGAAGCCGGATGTCACTGCTATCAAAGAGCCAAAAAGTAGCAAATTTACGTCCTGATCCAAATCAAGATTTCCTCTGAATATTATCCATCCAAGCACTGCCCCTATAGGCTGAGCACTCGCTCCAAGTATGCTTGATATGAAAAATGCGCGTGTCTTGCTGTTTAGCGCAATGCAAAGCGGCAGGGTCATTGTGAATCCTTCCACTATGTTGTGGATGAACATCGAAAGAAATATTGAGAATCCCAAGCTAGGATCTGCCTGGGCCGTAGAATACATAATAAACCCTTCTGGAAGTTTGTGTATTGTGATTGCAAGAACTGTCTGCAGCCCAATGGAAAGCAGTCGAGACAAGGGCGTCTGAATATGGTGATGGTGGTGTTCAAGCGAGCGGGAATCAGAGTTGTGTATATGCTCGTGGCCGTGATGATTCTCACCATCTTTGGAATGGTTGTGCTGGGAATGACCATTTTGTTTATGAGTCGAGGAGGTTTCGTGGACATTGACTAGCAAGGGAGAGTTAACTTCCAACTCGGGGAATTTCGAACAAATCTCATTCTTGTTGACAATGAGTTCTCTGTCCTTGTCGAAGAACATAAGATTCTCTTCACTTGGTAAGGTGCAAAAGTGCAGCTCGTTATGAGTCGATTTTTTGCCTGCATGTAAATGATGGCGTGCGATAAGTTCTTCTTGACAAGAATCTATTGTACCCAGGCACTCACCTTCAACTTCGGCTCCTTTCAAAGTTTTTAAGGATAAATCCACAAGGGACATCTTTTTAGGGGCTATTGTATAGTCTTGTTGGTCATCGTCAGCAACGGAAGAGCGATTGTGAGCATGATGTGAAAAGTAATCGTGAGGCTTGTGTCCACGAATTAACAATGGACTTTCCTCTGAAGTAGACTCCAGATCGGACGCTTCCGTATCTGAATGGCCAGACTCGTCATCATGAACGCAATGGACAATACTCTCATTGGTGAAAAAGTGGATCGCCAGATTGAGCAAAGTACAACAGATGATACCGACGAAGAAGAAGGTGACCAGCAAGGCTTTATGTAATGCTGGTTTACCTTCAATTGATCGAAGTTTTTCAAAGTATTTGTCTGCTTCAGAAAGTAGTCTGTTGAGCGATGTGAATAGTAAGCTACCCGAACTCAGCGATAATGTGGCCACGAGGAAAGGGGTATTCTTTTGAATGTTAAAAGGATGTTTTTCGTATAGTCTGGGGAATAGCACGCGATACACAGTGTCTGTGTATACCACTAGACAGCCTGCGATAGTAGTTACTGCGGTAAGCAGCACCAACACCCAACCCTGATCAGTCATTAGCTGGTTTACTTATTTTAAAAAACAAGATTTTTTAATTTAGTTGCCCTCAAATTTAGACAGCTTGCTTGATCTGTAAATACAAACGTGAAGTAGGGTGCCAAATCTAAGCACCAGATATTATGAATACGGATACGCAAACTGTTTAGGGCTAACGCCTACTCATACTTCATTTAGCTAGCTCGAACCATCTGTCAGAAAGTTTACTATCTATCTATATTCCAACAACTATCATCATATGAGTCAGTTGTCCCTATCAGATTTTTCATCACATCGATGGCTGCTGACGGTTGTACCGGTCCTCCGATACACACGTTAGCGTGAGCGAAAAAAGTACAGTAGTGGTTAGCAGGAGTTAAAATCTTTTTGTACAATTTTTTTTTCGCCTTTGGCATTTTTCTCGAGCACTTCATCGCCTTCTCCATTGATCTTCCCAATGCGGAAATTCCAAAATCCAAACTGAATCCTTTGATCGAGATATATATTGATGTGAATCCAATCACAATGCTACCAAATGGAAGAAAAGGACTTCTCCGGTTCTCCTGTGACCATAACATCGGTGCTGGACACTTCTAGAGTCACGGAAGTGTGTCGCAAGAGATGGCTATTCACGTTTGTCGAGGCCAAAGACTACTGGCTACTTCTTCCTGCATTGGTTTTTACCATCCTTTCTGCCATGGTCCCTGCAACAGTTGCAGTGCTGTTAGCAAGAATTTTCAATAAGCTGGAGAGCTTTGGTCGCAACGAATATTCAAGCGGCTATGATTTCGTGGCCGATGTGCAATGGCTTTGTTTTGCAATCGCTTTCGTCGGACTCGGTGCCACGTTTTTCAACTGGCTGGGGCTCAGTTGCTTTCTTCTTGCCGGAGAGAGACAGCAAAAACGTTGTCGACAGGAGGTGTACCGATCTTTGCTTCGGAAGGAAGTAGAATGGTTTGACAAGAAGTCGGATCTGAATTCCAATTTGTTGCAGGTGAACAGATGCATAGAGGAGTTTAGGATGGGTGTCTCTGAGTGTCTAGAGATGCTGATTAAATCAGTTGCCATGCTTTGTGCGTTACTAGTATTAAGCTTCTACTATTCGTGGAGGTTGACTTTGCTGGTCGTGGCTACCATTCCCATAATCGTACTGGTTACCGGAGTCTGGGGAATATTTATTGGAAAATATACCGCTTTGGAAAACAAACACTCAGAGGATACAACCAAGGTCCTAGAGTGGAATCTGCTTAATTATCTGTGGATCAAAATTGTTGATTCCTCGTCACTAGAAAAAAGGAAGCTGGATGCTGCTACTAAACTAACTTCCCAGAGCTTCTTGATAATGAAGCTTTTCTTCAACCTAAACGCGGGCATGATCAAGTTTTTGGCACTCATGATGTTCGTTCAGAGTTTCTGGTATGGATCGTTTCTAGTGCGCAAGCACCTTAATTCTTCAGGCGACATTGTTTCCTGTTTCTATTCTTGTCTCACGGTTTCACGAATCTTCTCAACCATTTCTTCGCAGATTGTGAGTCTGAAGACAGCATGGATCTCACTAAAGTATGTATTTGAAAGCGTGAACTGCACAGGCAGCGCTTATGAAGGCGGATTTCGACCCAAACATGATATCATGGGTGATATCAAGATTTCTAATGTCTCCTTCAAATATCCGGTTAGAGACGACTGGGGGCTTAATAACATCACGCTACAGATCCCTGCAAACCATCTGTTATATATTGTTGGGAAATCAGGCTCAGGGAAATCCACTCTTGCGTCCCTGATTCTGAGGTTGTACCATTTTGACGGCAAAATTACCTGTGACGATTATGATATTTCGAGACTGGACCAAAGCTGGTTGGCCTCACAGATCACTTTAGTTCAGCAGCAATGCACTCTCTTCGGTGGTACAATTTTTGAAAACCTGACTTTGGCCTCTCCTACTCCCGTCGCTCCCAAATTATTGAACGAGGCCTTGCAAATAACTGGTCTTGATCAGCTAATCGCTTCTCTACCAGCAGGAATAAATACGAAAGTTGGAGGAGGTTCTGGGTCTATAACACTGAGTGGGGGACAGCGACAGAAAGTTGCCTTGTCTAGGGCAATCATCAGAAACACTCCTGTCCTGATCCTGGACGAAGCTTTGTCAGCGGTGGACTACAATCAGCGCATCATGATCTTAGAAAAGCTCAAAAGAAACAGAAACAGAAGGTCCACAGTCATTATGACGCACGACTACTCGGAGATAGCAGATTCAGATTACGTTGTTCTCATGGAAAGTGGAAAAATTGAGGAGCAGGGTCTCAAGAGTGACCTGCTAAAAGGGAACACCAGGTTTGCTTCTCTCCAATACGAAATGGATACCCCCGATAATCCTTTTGGTGATGAAAAGGAGGAAGAGGAACTTGAAGAGAGAATGGATCAGCCCGATGAATTGGAGAACCAAACCCCCGAAAAAGTGAGCATGTTACAGCTCCTGCGCCAGCTGTGGCATGTTCTTACCTTTGGTTCTAGGGTCTGCTTCCTGCTTGGCATTATGATTTCCGTGGTGAATGCATCCATGACGCCCTTGTTCACCTTTTTTCTATCCAAGCTAATTCTCGGGATAGTGACAGTTGGTCAGCAGGTATCCAGTGCTTATATGGTGAAGTGGTCCCTGGTTCTTATGTGCGTGGCATTCATGGATGGACTTTCGTTGTTTGCTTCTAAGATGGCGCTAAGCCAGAGCTCGGAAACATTGGTTGGCCAGCTACGTAACAGAGCTTTTGAGAAGATTCTAGCTCAACCTATATGCTGGTTTCAAAATATAAATCCAGGCGCTCTTTCGTCCCTACTTATCAATGATATTAGGGACCTCAGGACCATGATTTCAGATGTACCAAGTCAGCTTATTTCTATCATTGCCCTCTTATTGATTGCCATGGTCTGGTCGCTGATCGTCTGTTGGAGATTGGCGCTAGTCGGCCTCAGCTTTGCTCCCCTTTTCGCTATATTCTCAACTTTATTTTCAATCCTCTTGCAAAAATATGAGACAGCCTACAAGCAAGCATCAGACGACGTGGAAGAAGTTGTTCATGAAAGTGTCTTGGGAATGAAAACAGTGGTATCACTCAATCTTCAGGGTCATTTTCAAGCCAGATTTAACGATCACATGAATCAATTGAAGCATGCAGGAAAGCGGCGGGCACTTATTATCTCTATAGCCATGGCTGCGCAGAATATTGCAATCTATCTCTCACAAGCAATCATGCTGTATTATGGAATCAAACTGGTCTCTGAGGGCTCAATCACTCTGGTTCAGATGATGCAGGTGGTAGCTTTGATAATGTTTACTGTCGGTTACGTTTCTGCTGTGCTTTCCTCAATGCCAAACGTGAACAAAGGTGTTTTAGTTTTTATGAAGATACTGACTTTGATCCAACTTCCGGAAAATATACAAGAATATTATGGGACAACCAAACCGATATTTAACCCAAATAAGCCATTGATCAAATTCCAAAATGTGCAATTTAGTTACGGTCCAGGCACAGCTCCCGTGTTGTGTAACTTCAATTTCTCGCTCAATATAAATATGATCACCTGCATAGTGGGCAGATCTGGCTGCGGAAAATCAACTCTTCTAAATCTCTTATTTCGGCTCTTCAGCCCTCAGAGGGGATCAATTAAATTTTGTGGAACAAACCTTGATCAGCTTCATATGTCTGAGCTCAAAAAAGAAGTTGCTGTTGTCACCCAGAACCATTACTTTTTTGATGGTACTATTTTTGAGAATCTGACATACAATCTGCATAAACCTGTTACGAAAGCACAGATCTACGAAGCTCTCGAATTGGTTGATATGGCAGATTTCGTTCACGGCCTTCCAGATAATTTGTTTTCGCGCATCGGTGGCTCTTCAAACCTCTTGATTTCTGGAGGACAGCTACAGCGGCTTTGCATTGCTAGAGCTCTTATTAGATCGCCTAAAGTCTTGGTTCTCGATGAGTGTACAGCATCGTTGGACCCGCAAAATGTCAAGCGGGTTGCAAAAATTCTACTGGGACTGAAAAAACACGTGACCATCATCATGGTAAGCCATCAGAGAGAAATGATGCAGATCGCGGATACCGTCGCATACATGGAGGACGGGATTATCAAGGAGAAAGGTCACTTCGACACGCTGTCAAACAGAAGAAATCTTTTTTATCGACTCATTAACTAACTATGGTGATCATGTATGGAGGTGAAGACATATGTAAGGCACTTCAACATCCTCGCCCTCTTGATCGTCGCAGCAAATCTCAAATATCAAAGTCTTCTCGTGTTCAGGAACTGGTTTCTTGGACACCGTCTCTATAAGCTCGGTCAACTTCAGTGGCAACCTGGTTTTCAGTTTGCTTGGAGGATGGAATGACCCATACAACAGAGAAACTCCATGCGACAGCATAGTGATTTCAAGACCTTCTTTCTCTTTGAAGTAATCGAGAAGCTCTTGCAAAGTCATATCTCCGTACAAGTCAAACCTATCCCAAATCTTATCGAACGTTTTATCGTTGTATTTGCCGGAGGGAGATTTGATAGGCTCGGAAAAGCCAATGAAAGGTAAGGCCAAGTTGACGAAACCGTTCTTATACTTCTCAATAATCGTTTTGTTGTCAACAACCTTGTAAAGCTCCAAACACACCAGACCAGTGACCAAGGCGGTCGTGGTAGCGATAGCTGGTATAATTTTACCGGCAATGAATTTTGTCTTGGATCTGTCTGCAGTAGCGATGTGGTAGTTCAAGGCTCTGCAATTTGAGGCCGCAGTAATAAACTCAATGTGATGGTTTGTGTCATCATCCTTCTCAAACTCCACAGCATTTAGTCTATACCCTGCCAGAGAAGAAGCCGTTGGCAGCGAAGCAGCAAGCTTCTCGATGGCTCCTTGGTCCATAACCATATCGGCATTAGGATCAGGATCATTGTCATTGGCTTGGATCTTGACATCGGATTTTGGACTGAATGGCTCTATAGTGACAGAGGACAGAATGCGATCATAATAGGCCCTGTCAGGCTCTCCCTGATCCCCCTTCAGACCATAAACATAGGCCAACAAGTTAGCACCGGCAACGATGTAATGAAAATGATCATCGTTGTTGATATCAAACACCAAAGGATCAGGCGCCCTTTTTGGTCCAGACCAGAATGGGGCACCGGTTGACGTGACAGCATCCTTTGGGAAATTGTAAAGTAGCTGTTGTATGTCGTGATTGAAGGTTTCCTCAAACTTGCGTCTAGCCCATTTGATACAATCATCAAAAGTGTAAGGTCTGTCTTTGGTGAGGTAAGCGCTAATAGACTCCAAAATGCCCTTCACATCACCACTTTGTTTCAAAGTGCTCTCAACAAAATTAGGCTGTGACAGGTAAAGGTTCACATTTTCTGGAGCATCAGTAAAGTAACCTTGGAAAAGCGACTTGGCCCACGCAATCGTGTGATCAATCTTGTTTGGGAAAGACCTTAATGTACAAAGCGGAATAGACTTCTCTGGTGGATCCTGAGAAGAAGAATATGACTCAGTAAGATGTGGAATGATAACCTGTGTGTTGCCCTTGGTTCCCAAAGTACCAGACTCCAAAAGTGGTTTCTTGAAAAAGACACATCTCCTGTCAACATAGGTTCTAGCCTCGACATTGTCTAGCGCATTGGTCACAAAATCAAGACTCTCCCAAAAGTTGTTGTCGAAAATGTGCTCGCTTTCTGGACCAACCTTATCAGTTCTAGGCTCTATTTTGCCCTTAAGGTCTGGGTTCATGGCACACACCGCTTGAGAGGAAACTTCAGACTTATTTTTACCGACATCCTTTGGCCTGAATAAAAATTGTCTATTCAAATTGGACTTTTCAATAGAGTCATTGTCTGTGAGGTATATCTTCCCCTCCGGTCCGCTTCCCAGTCCCATCATGGCCCAATTCTTCAGCATTTCACATCCAATAGCACCAGATCCGACCAAGAACACTTTCAAATTAGCAATCCTTCTTTGAAAATCGAGTCCGAATACAGCAATTTGGTTATCGTATCTGGAGTTAATCGGTTTGCACGTCTCCTCCGTACGAGGATACTCTTTACTCTCAGGAAGAGATTCGAAAGAGTCAAAGTAGAGCCATTGTTTCACTGGGCCAAACTTACCCGAACAAGCCTTCAACACCTCTTGAGCAACTAGACCACCATAGAAAGCAACCATTGCTGGCAATTCACCTCTGGCCCCATAAGAGAGTTCCTTAATCAAATTTTCGTCAATGTCAGCACCGCCTAGAATGTTCGGATATTTGGAGTTCAGCCGCTTGACCAAATCCACAACTTCAGCCGCATCAGATTCAGAATGTGGTCTTGGAAGCTCACCATGGATTTTTTCAAACTCATTCAAAGCTTGGAATCCAAGGTGGAACAGAGGCGGTCTTTCCATTTTTGCAAAATCTGAGTAAAAGAATTCTGGGTTCTCCAGCTGCGTGGATAACTTTTGAAAGGATATTTGCTTTGGCATCTTGACTTGCGTGTAAATTCCTCCTTTGATATAGGAACCCCAACTTGGATCAAAATCCACCAATTGGTAGGCGTATGGCCCCAGAACTTTAATTTTGTAAGCAGTGCCGTCATTCAGTTTATCAATACCTTGCACTTCAGAAAACTTGACGTAATCTCCGTCTTCCAATCCATGTCTATTGTCGTCCAACATGGTAACAGTTCCATTCTTTTCAATATCTGAGACTATACCTGTGTGCGGCTCTTCTCCGTTTGGATCGAAAATCGTAAACGCTTCACCAAAGTCCACAAATAACTGACCAACAAGTCCTTTAATATCTGCGTGTATGTATCTAGTTCCCTTTGCATGAGTAAGCTCATTAATTTCTAATTGTTTTTCTAATGGGGTCTCTGTGGTAACCACAACTTGGAAGCTAGAAACAGTTTCTCCAGTAAGGTTGCTCACAATTGAGATTGGCACATAGGCATTAAGCTCGGCAAGTCTAGGCAATGAAGCTTCGGCACGAGACTTACCGATATCGCTCTCAGTTAAAAAGAACTGGGCAGATAGATCGGTCAACGTGACAGGGGTAGGGTCGTAGATGGATAAAGACTTAACTCCTGCCAGGGCAACATTTTTTGCAATCTCAATTCCCAGGCCTTTCAGACCTATGATCAGAACATTGGACGAGGCCATCTTGAGCATGGCCTCTTTTCCCAGAACGTACAATTGACGGGAGTAGAGTCCCTCATCAATAGCCTCTTCCTGAGGAGAGTCGACTTGCATTTTCTGGTCCTTAAAAGTTAGCTTTTCTCGGGCCAAAGACATGTTACTTACTGTCATGAGCTGTAGTGGCAAATATATATAAAACTTATTTGATCTGCACACTAAAAAAGCTGGGTCAATAGGGAAACCATAGAAATAAGAAATTTCGGTACCCAGATTATTAATGTTAAAATTCTCTGGCAAAGTGTTTCGGTCTGCGGGTATACGTGGCCTAGCCACGGCTCTGCCCACAACAAGGACCACAGTTTTGAAAAATGGACTAACGGTGGCGACGGAGAAGATTCCCAACTCGTTGACCGCCACCGTGGGAGTTTGGATTGACGCCGGCTCTCGGGCGGATGTGAGTGACTCCACTTCTGGAACGGCCCACTTTCTTGAGCATTTGGCTTTTAAAGGAACCAACAACAGAACACAGTTGAATTTGGAGCTTGAAGTGGAAAATTGCGGTTCCCACCTGAATGCATATACATCTAGAGAAAACACTGTCTACTATGCTAAGTCGTTAAAAGAGGACATTCCAAGAGCAGTGGACATTCTTTCCGACATCCTGACGCGCTCAAAGCTTGAGAAATCGGCTATTGAGAAGGAAAGACCTGTGATCATCAGAGAAAGCGAGGAAGTCGATAAGATGTATGATGAAGTTGTTTTCGACAGGCTTCATGAAGTCGTGTTTAAGGGCCAGCCTTTGGGAAGAACCATTTTGGGTCCGATTGAAAATATCAAGTCTATTACCCAATATGATCTGAAGAACTACATTCAAACCAACTACAAGGGCGATCGCATGGTGTTGGTTGGAACAGGTGCGGTGGAGCATGAGCAACTTGTTGAGCTTGCGGAAAAATCATTTGGACATGTGCCGTTGTCGGAAAAACCGCTGCCACTAGGAACGCCACGCGGAGCACTACCCAAGTTTTATGGTGAAGAAATAAAGGTCAAGGATGAGTCTTTGCCAAATACCTACTTCGCTCTCTGCGTGGAGGGCTGCTCGTGGTCGTCTGATGACTACTTTAAGGCACTTGTTGCGCAAGCTATTGTGGGCAATTGGGATAGAGCAACAAACGTCGCTCCTTCGCCTCTAGCAAGAGCCGTCGCTTCCGGCCAGGGAGCACCTTTGTGCAATTCTTTCATGTCGTTCTCCACTTCGTACTCTGACACAGGTCTCTGGGGAACATATGTCGTCGTGGATAAATCACAGACGTGCTATCCAGTGATAGACTGTATTTTGAGAGAATGGAGCCGACTGCGAAACGGAAATTTCTCAGTGAAAGAAGTTGAAACAGCAAAGTCCCAGCTAAAGGGTTCATTGCTTCTGTCATTGGACGGAAGCACTGCTATAGCTGAAGATATTGGCCGTCAGTTAGTCACTACTGGCCGTAGATTATCTCCCGAAGAGATTTTCGAAATTGTGAATAGTATCACCAAGGACGACGTCGTTGATTGGTGCCAACGCTATTTGCAGGGGAAGCCAGTGGGATTGGCAGCTCTGGGATCCACGGACTCCATCCCGGCCCACAAACTCATTAGCCAGAGTATGTCTTTCTAAATAAGTTTAGATTGTTTGTAAATATGCATTACCTGATATCCCTAGCCTATTCTATGAACCGAAAGCAATATAACATTCATTTAATTGTAGATGTCCCCAAAAACGCTAACGTGGAACTCAACAATGCGTTTAAGTCTTTCAGCCACTCCTTTCAACTCTTCACGGATAATAATTTCTTGCTCTAGCCCGCTTTTATCACCGGTATTGAGGCTTTTCCAGATATTGTCTAACATTTTATGTTCTAGCATGGAGTATATTTGTGAGATTGGTTGAGTCTGATTGAGAAGCCAGTTGAAGCAGAACTTCACTTTGCAGGGGTTAGTATCCGGGCTGACCTTACTGACCAAATGCACGGCAAGGTTGTTGAGGTTTCTTGTCCATTTGGAGTTCCCATTCTCGTCAACAATTATGCTTAAGATCTCCTTCTTTAATTGCTGCAACTTGTCTGCAGAACAGTACTCGGCAGTGGACAATCTGTATGAACTCACAAGACTTTGGTATAGAATTAAGCAAATCTTGATGCAAATTAGTTGACGAATGTCGGCTCTCAGAATCACCAATCTGGAGTGGTCAAAGGTAAGTGTGTCGGGGAATTCCGAGCACATGTGAGAGCATGAAAGCAAGTTCAAAATTCCGTAACTGAGAACTTGCTGAATGCCATCTGCGCCATTGCAACGTTTTTTGGACTTCCTGTACCAGTCCAAACTTCCGTTTAAGTTGATCTTGTTCTTTCTAATGATCGTCTGGAAATACTCTTTTTCAAAAGCCACTGCAGTCGAGCAAAGTAGCGGTCTAAGAATGCGAATTTGATGATTGGCAACATCAAGTTTCATGGCCTCCAGGATGGAGAAGAGAACGTGAAGCCCTTCGACAACCTGGTCCACGTTGATCGGAGACGTGGAGCATGCCTTTTCGAATATGCAATTCATTTCGTCCACCCAAGAGTCTCTCATTGGCGCACAGTGCATTTTGAAAATGGCCGAGATCCAGTTCGAAAACTTCATGAAGTTAAAACATTTGATATTTAGTTCTTGGACCAAGAGAGATATATCCATAATCTCTTCAACGTTAGCCTTGTCTTTGGACGGCAACAAGCTTAACAGGATATCCTTCAGCGTCCGGAACATTACAACAATGATTGAGTTGTCAGTGATAACTTTTCCCGAGCTCATCAGACAGCGAATTTCGGCTTTGACGGCTGACCAATATCTGTCACCTTGCATCCGTTTCCGTTTGCCACGCTCGCCGTCAAGATTAGGTCTAAATTGTAATTGGGGCTCAAATAAGATATCATGGCGCAATTGCGGATTTTTCAAAATCTCGTGAAGATCGATCTCGTGCATCGATTGGAGATTGACAGGAGGCACAGGAACCTTTTCGGAAGGTTGTCTTTGCTGTAAATCATCAATGAGTAACTTGGTTTGCTTGTGCGAGGGGATCCAAATATTCGGGAGAGACCGCGACCTAAACCTTTTCGAAATGGGTAAGCTATTAGTTAGCAAAGAAGGTGATGTGGATCGCTGAGAGGTCGTTCCTTTATAGAACTTAGTTCGCTTTCTTCTAAGTCGCTTTGAAGTCTTGGAGGATGATCTTGGCCGAGGAGGAATGTCTATGGACGACGGCGGCGAGAAAAGGTTTTCGGTCGACGAGGATCCCATATCGGATGTTGAAGGCATCTGAGATGTGAAGGTAACATTAGATTCATCGTGAGGTTGTGCGGTCGTAGAAGGCGTGTTCAGCATAGAGGCGTCCAAATTAGTGGGCACCACGACCGACGGCCTTCTGTTCTCGACCACCTCCATTGCATCCGCATCTTGTTCAGGAGCACCAACCGGACTGGAGTCCTTACTTGAGAATACATTCTTGAAATGTGGAGGGTGTTTCAGTTCTTGGTTGTCACCTGTGTTATTTAGGTGGGAGTTCATTATTGTATGCGAATCTAAACGGCCAATGACTGTACAAAAACGAAAACCTCTGAAGTACGAATTCAACAGTACGGGATTCTGTTTAGTGTAAATGCTTTTCGAAGGGGTATACTGATGGCTGTTTTAAAGTGGAGGATTGAGAAAAAATTTCAATTAGTAGACAAATACAACCACTAATAATAGGAAAAAAACCATATATATCAGTAAAAGTTACCCATGTAGAAAATATATATTTCCCAAAGGCGGGTGGGCCAGCCATCGGAAAGGCGGGACTACGCGCGCCCCCGTTTCTTTTACCACAGCAAAAAAAAAAAAAAAAAAAAAAAAGAACTGATTACTTAATGCCATAGGAAAAACAAACGACATTTCTTCTCTTTCATGTGCTAGTGAACTTTTCGTACTCGTTCGCGAAATTAGTCACGTCGGTCCGGTCGAGGAGTTAATCTTGCAGTCTCTTGAGAGCTCAGAAGAGCATCAAAGGTGGTACATCATCTACAGGCGAGGCCATCTGATAATTGCTGAATGGATAATATGATTTTCACATCACGTTCAATATCTGATCTTCGATATTGTGCATACATTAGAAAGATATCATCCTTTTTTGATGCATATGAAAGAAGAAATGAAATTCAGAATATTTGAAATCGTCGCTCACAGGTGAATTTTGAATCGGCGTTTCCGCAGGCGTGACAGAGCAACTATTTTTTTCGTTTTCTGCGATTCGCTACATTATTCTTCCGTTATGCAGTATTACATATTTTCTCCGCTGAAAAGCCCGACTTGGACGTATGCAGCATCGCCTATGAAGCCCCATATTGTGCGGCGAAAATGTGCTCCCATGTTATCTCACGACGGACTGCGTTCGAGAAGCCTTCATGGTACTTAACCCAAATTCTGTTCTCATTTTGACCCATCACTGCAGTAGAGTGCTGTTTGCTGCTTTTTGCGTGACTTAACTGATCTGTTAAAGCCGCGTACTTACTCTTGAAGTATTCCACACTTGAGCTGCAATTACTCTTTTTGGCCACTTGATCTTTGTCGCGTGGTGCCTTCCGCTTGCGATCTATTGTCTTGAACTCCTGGCCTTGAATGTATTTTGTGAGCAGCTCCTTGTGTAATCTCACCAATATTTGCTGCTGCTTCGCTGAAAGGTTGCCAAAAAGATGAATTCCAGGTCGCATTTGAGCAGTCGCGTTTCCATACTCGTTTTTTAATAAGTCGATGCGCAACGAGTATGCTTCCATAAGCTCCATTATTCTAGAGAGTTTGCCGCCTCCACCTACCATCTCGATCTGTCTAAACGGAACGTCAGGCACTAGTATTGCGTTGAGCAGGCTCAACTCGTAGCCCACCAGTTGTTCACGATTAGCAAATTTGAAACTGTCTGCTTGATTCAGATGCTTTATCTTTTGGAGAGTTTCAGCAGTCTGTTTTCTTAAATCAAAAAAGCAGTCACGAGTTCTATAATTGTACCTCTTTTCCGACAAATGGCTAATTTCATTAAACTTCTGGTAAAACTTCATTGGCACTGCAGATTGGTAAAATGTGAGGTCTTGGGCTTCAAAAGAGGAAAATTTGGTGCCAAGCGCGTCTTGGAAGTACAACCAGTCCGACATTTCGCTTAAAGTGTTGATATCGGTGTCCGTGTCAAGCATCACGTTAAAACATCCTGTAGCCACCCTCTCTACCTGTGATGAGGACGAAAGGGATCGAAACACTTTCTGAAACTGTTCCTGTTTGCTGATTTTTGCACTTCTGACAAAGATGCTGTCCAGCAGAACAAACCATCCTATTTGGGTGTCCTTTGAGCTCGATTCGAGATTCAAAGTAGTTGCCGATGAGTTGAACTGTAGAAAATTGATGCAGTTTCTCAAATCGCCTTCGGTAGATTCTATAATCGCGTCCAGGACACGGTCATCCACAATGAGGGCTTCTCGTTGAGAGATCTTCTTCAGTTTTGATTTGATCAGACGTGGATGTGATTTGCGAAAGGCAATAGTCTCACAGTGTGGCCTGAGCTTCTCCAACACAGGTGAATAAACATCGTTACATAGGGCAATTATGGGACGTTTTAAAATATCTCTTCGTATGTTGCCCTTCGTATCAAGGCCCAGACAAGCCGTATCACGGCGGTCTTTGTTTATCAGGTCCACCAATATATTGATAAATCCATGCTCCGTAGCTCCATCTATTTCATCCAGGATTAGACATACAGGACTTCCTGTTAGTGAGTTGTTTTTCATGGCATTTTTTATTTTATCCTGGACTGTTGTTCCAGCACGCTCGTCACTGGCATTTATCTCACGCGCTTCGTATCCCAGCTGCTTTGATATCACATGCGCGATAGAAGTCTTTCCAATTCCGGGCGGACCGTGGATTAGTAAAACTCGTTTATCTGGACGGTTGTAAAAGTCATTCGTTTCCGTGCACGGTTTCCCGAAAACAACCTGGTTCCACTGATTTATCCATTGGAGAATTTGTCTGTTTGTTCTTTCGTTTCCAACAAGGTCCAAGAAGCCCGAAGGCCTATATTTCTCTGTCCATAATTTATAGGTGGACGGTTTCGAGTCGTTTGCTGCAGACCTAGATTTCTGGCGAGTTGTCTGTTCAGCAGCCTTCTCCTCTATTTCTAATTTGGATAGGAGTTTGTGGATGTTTATGAGCTCCGATTGATCTTTCTCATTACCTAAGATGACGTGTCTCGGTTTGCGAGGTTTGAGCGTGATACCTTTACCGGAGGACAGCACAATTCTTTTACCATCCACTGGTATCGTCTCTGTGCCCGGAAAAGCAGGTGGTGGATCAGCAGCAAGCAGCGAGGATGAGAAATCAAATTGCAATAGGGAGCTCATACACGCTACTTATTTTTCAGATCGTAATATTTACGCGTACTATACACACCCAACACCAGGCTATGCCCTGCGATCAGTCTTGATCTTTTCCTTGACTGTGATGAGAAACTCGTTAAGATTCCCTTCTTCAGCCGCGCGGTTGATCTGGGACAGCAGAGAGTTGCTGATTTTCATGCCGTTTTTGGCAAGTTCCTTGGTTGCTCTGTTGACTAAATCTTTATGCTTTGGGTCGCCAAATAATTGATCTCGGTTTTCATTTTTGAGATCCAACGAGGCAATGATCTTCCTGCCAGTATCTGAATTCTTTGTCTGAACGCGAATATGATAGATGTTCAAGTCATCAAGCAGATCATCGGTATCCTGAATTATTCTGAACTTCAGATCCTGCGTAACTATCAATTTATTCTTGGAGTCTAATTTCCCCACGGAAATGAAAAACCCAGGGCCGTCACGATTAGTCCGAAAGTTGAATATAGCGTTCTCAGTCAAGACATCTGTGTGAAGCAGAGTATTTGTCTCGACATCGTAGGATAGGTACTTGCCGTCGCTGTTCTTCAGCGCATATCTAAGTATATCGTCAGAAACGTGTTCACTTTCCTGTGTTAACTTGAGAACGTTTTCGATGTTCACCACACTGAATACTTGAGTTACTTCCTGTGGCTCAAGCTTATACAGTGGTGATTTGGGATCAAAGTCAATGAAGTTAATAGCATCCTCCGCTATGTCCACCTTCTTTTCGTCTGCTGCGGTCAGGCCACACTTCTCGTCGAATTCAAGAGACCCATGATGGCCAGAACGCTCGAAACAAATCATGATAGATCCATTAAGATCTTTGCGTGACTTTGCCAGCGTCCAGCCATACTCTAGATAATCTCTAGGAATATCATATATATTCGTGGGAATTCCATTAATTGAGGCCAAAGTCACCGGAGTTTCCTGACTTTCAGCCCCCGTGTCTTTTTTGTGCCTCTTCCGTTCAGCATCCGCTTTTGGTTTGCGCCTTTTCTCTCCTTTAAAGCTTAATTTCGTGACCATATTTAATCCACTTTATACTTGAAAGAGAATTTTTTGGTCTGTATTATGAATCGTCCACTATATCATAAAGTCTCTCCAAATTATACGTCTCTCGCCAATAGTCAGCACGAAATTTAAGTATAGCCAAAATGCTGGAGAGAACGATAGTGCACCCTGCCAAAATGGAGAACAGGACTCCAGTGCCCAAAGCTCTGATTAAAGGCTCTGTGGCAAAGGAAGCGCCTGCTGCCAAAAGCATCCGGACAAAATTGGACAATGCAATTCCCGTGGCACCTCTGCCAGGTAGAGAGTCAGCAATGTACGTCACTGTAGTTCCGATAACGATCATCTGAGCGAATCCAAAAAGAGCTGTTCCGACTAATGGCGTAACCCAGTGCTCCTTCTTATCCAGACACCATCCGGTAATCAGAAGCGAACAGGGAAATATACCAGCAGCCAAGTAGACATTGATACCAAAACGTGCCTCAGGGGCAATGATACCGTACTTTTGCCGCTTCTTTTCAAGTAAATAGTCTGTGAATCGGCCTCCCCAGATCGAGGCTATAATGTAAGTCACCGAGTTTGGAATGTAAACCAGACCAACCAAAAGGGAGTTGAAGTTGTAAGGAGGTCGAGAATAGCAGTATGAAAGCGTCATATTGACAAAGTATAACACGGCGAAACATGGAGCAGAGTAGCAGATAGCTAGAAAAACGGGTGGATATCTCAAAAAATGAAGAGACTTCAATGGCAAAAAACCGTAGACATATAAAGTCCGCTTCAAGGTTGCAACCTTTCCCTCCTTCCCTGGCTGTTCTAGATTTTCAACCTCCACCCTGAGTCTTTCTAAATCTTCTTGGTGCCGGCTTTGAGAAACATGAGTCGACATACGCCCAATGGGCGTAACTGTATCCACTGGGTCTGACTCTTCGAGTCTAGAGGGCTGTCTAGAAAGTCGCGACAAAATTCTATCGACTTGTTCGTCTGACCTCTCATTATCCTCTGGAGGCCCTCGTTCTTCATCTGCATTCTTCTTCAAGCGTTCTCTCAAAATCTTCCGAATAGCTTCTCTATTATCTTGTAGTCGAAGTGTCTCTGGCTGTGCAAAAATTAGAAGGACAATGCAAACTCCTGACAAAATCACCAAAAACCACTGGGTACCTCTCCAGCCGAAACTCTTTCTCGAAGTAATGGCACCACCAACAATCGGAGACAGGAGTGGAGCAGCCAACGGACCAAGATAGAATATACCCATAGCAGCTCCTCTCTGATTAATCGGATACAAATCTGATATACTTCCTGCCCCGACCGCTTGCACACTGGCGGCACAGGCTCCTGATAGAACCCTGAATCCTATAAGCATCCCTATTGACTTCGATAATGCACATCCGATGGTAAATGCAAAATAGAGAATGAAACTAACCAAATAAATAGACCGCCTCCCGTGTCTCTCACTGAAGCTTGACCACCAAAGCGGGAAGACTCCCAGTGTGATCAAATAAATACCAATACTGACGTTGACGATTGTAACGGAAGTATGCAGTTCGTCGCAAATATTATTTGTGGCTGGGAGAAGAATAGATGTACCCATTGGTCCTATCATCGCGCAGAAAGCAACGTTAAACACGATAATATATTTTATCATCTGTGGCAAGTCTCGAGGGTTATCGTATTCAGGAATCAAAAGTAACATTGAAAAGAGTCCTCGCCGTTTCTCTCTAGGTACTATCTTCGACTTGTCAAGTTTGTACGACGAAGGATTTGTCATGGAAACTGCTAGTGATGCACCGCTCCCCTCATTCTGATGTTTCTCCTGATTGTCTTCGGTCAAAACCACGGGCTTGTCATGGTCTCTCGAAACCTCTGAGTCTATAGAGACTAAATCAGAAGAGTGACGATCACTCATAGTTTAGAATGAGAATCTAGAATATTTCTTTGCTCAACGGTGAATACCATATGGCTTGGAGTAAATTTTTATCGATCAAAAAATTGCCGCTTTTGTAAACATGCTTCGGGATTACTGCTGATGATTTCCGAATTTTTGATTTTTGATCCATTCATCAATTATCGTTACGAATCCGGGACAATCTTCCGTAATCACCCAATGACCGGTGTTGATATCACTCGTGGAATAATTTGGAAAGTGATCGGAGACCTTTTCATGGTCTATTTCGCCAACAAAAGGACTCTTCAAAGCTCTGATAATGAGTAAGGGTCCGTTATATTTAAGAGAGCCATCGACTTCTAGTATCTTTAGGGTCTCCAATGATTGCTGTAAAACGTCGACTGGAACTTTGCATTCAATGGCTTTCGAGACCTTGTTTCTTTTAAAGTTGCTAGCAAGAAGCTGTCTGAAACGTTTATCTGGTTCAATATCCTTTAATTTCTGGTCCACCTCTGCTAAGCTCGAAAACGTAGAATTGGTTAAAAATTGTTTCACATAGCTGAAAAATCGATCAAACCGAGCAAACTCTGAGTCTGCCGCCCTGGGATTCTTATATGGCACATTGTCAACTGAAGCGACCCCCAACACATCGTTAGGGTGATTGAGTGCGTGAAACATCGCTGCCTTCCCTCCCATTGAATGTCCGATCATAACGTAGCCACGAGAATACTGCGGGTTGATCGCCGGAGTTTTTAGCAAATTGGATATATCTTCAGACATGAGCTCATTACTGTGGGCACTACGGTGAAAAGAATCTCCGTGGTTAGTTAGATCGGGAACAAGGACAGGTGTCTGCAGATTGTGTGCAAGAATTCCTGCAACATGACGGTTCTGTTTGCGGTTTCCCAGCAGCCCATGCAGTAAGACCAATGGAGGAATGGTGCCAGTTGACGTGGGACAAAAGAAGTCATACGCCAGTTTCCATTCTCCCTTTCCGGGGGTGAATGTTTTCTTCACAATGCCACGCATTTTTTCGAGAATTTATTTCGAGCCCCGATTTGCGTCAAACATGTATCAAGATAAATAAAGAGGTGTTTGGTAAACCGATATTTGACCTATATCACGATTATGAGACAATCTCCACGAATAACTGGAGACACCTTGTCAGTATATATGACGGGCATAGACCGTAGTTGGATCGCTACCCCATTATAATATGATTGTCTTTTTTCTACGGAAAGGGCCGAAACTCCTAGTGTTACTGCTTCTTGTTATCAACATCTTTCTACTCGCTTTTCTGTTGGTGGGATGCAGCAGTTCCAGCTCGCAATATTCTAACGTCTACCTGGTCGAGTACAAATTCAACCAGTCGTCTGCCTTTTACAACAAGATAGAAAACGCATATTCAAGGTCTAATAATGACGATCTGACCTCAATGAGGGTTCTCGTCGGTTATCGTGGTATCTGTGTTAAAACAGACAGTGCGACATTGTGCTCAACGAATATCGAAAAGACAAACTACAAAGAGATTTATCCGGGAGTCTCGCTTTACAATACGGACGCAAATTCCACTTCGTCCTCATTGAGCCTGGTGGACATGGCAGTTGAATTCAACACCAAGGTGACCCAACCCTACATTTTAATGGCTAGCTTGGTGCTCACTCTGTTCTTGCTTGCAAGTTTGCTTTATGCGTATATACCTCTTCTGCCTTGGAAATGGGTGGCTCCGTATACGAGTTTTGCTTTGAGTTCCGTCTTATGCGTTCTTTGGGGTATCGGCGGGATGTGGGCTCACGTCGCTGCCAAATCGGGAGCAGTTATTGGAACCACGGCATCAATGACGATCATCGAAGGTTCGATTGGCCACAGAGCCGCAGCCATGATATGGAGCAGTTTCAGCTTTTATGTTGTTTCACTAGTATGCACCTCTGTGGGATTGGCGAAACAAATTCGGAGCAAGCAAGAGTCATTGGAAAAAGATAGCAAAAGCTTGGCAAGTAGCATGCCCGGCACTTTTACAGGAAAAAACCCATTTCCTACCGGAAGGGTAAGGCAATTCGTGTAAATTTCAAAAAATCGGTATCGTTTTTTTTGTTTTTTTTTCGCGGGATATTGAGATGAACAAGCATTTATTCCATAAACATGTATGAGTATGGGGTAATTTTAGCAATTTGACCGTTGGCAAACCAACGGCTATAATTAGTTTTATGGTGTAGAAACTACGTGAGTTTTGCGAGGCTAGACTTCAGAACTGTGCTGAGCAGAGCGACGTAGAACCGGTCGGCCGTAAAAATGTGTAGCCTTCTATATCTATCTATGTTGCATCCTCAGCTTGAGCAATAAAAATTTTGCATGGCTAGTGCTATTTTAAAATATATCTTCTTTCACCTGTATAGCTCAAATTGAAGTATCAACATATTTCAGCCTAGGGAAGACAACTCCGCATTTTGTCTTGCTAGAGAGATACTTGAAGACATTTGTTCACAGCTTGTTTGGGTGTTTTGTTGACTGAAGACCAAGATGCCTCAGGAAAATCAGCATCTGGAAAAGGATTCCGGCGACGGAAATGGAAAGAATGGAGGGGTGCGACTCCGGCGTGGGCCGTGGTCTCCAGAAGAAGATAGCAAGCTGCTAGAGCTGGTGCGATTATATGGGGGCGAAAAGAACTTAAACTGGGTAAAGATATCACAAGTTCTGCAGACGCGGACTGCGAAACAGGCCAGGGAAAGGTATCATCAAAATCTCAAACCATCACTTAACCGGACACCCATCACCCCGGAAGAAGGGAAATATATCGAGGAGTTGGTCCAAAAGTATGGCAAACGGTGGGCCGAAATTGCTAGGCACCTCAACGGCCGCAGTGATAATGCGGTGAAAAACTGGTGGAATGGCGGGGCAAACAGAAGAAAGCGAGCATCTATTCAAGGGCTTGACTCTAGCTCTTATGAGAAACAAGAGTCAAATTCCACGAGCGACAAGCCGATGGAGCGGGACCCTTCATCGGAAACCGTGTTACCTCTTCCAAAGCCAAGTGTAAATTTCAACGTCGGGATTTTTGGAACTGCGAGCGATGAAGTCCCTGCACCTGCATTTCAGTCTATTAGGGCTGGAAGAAGCTCTTCCATGGACACGAGAGCTTACAACTACGAACACCTACCTCCGATCCGAAAACGGAAATTAATAGATGATTTCTCATCAGAGCCAATCCGCAGACACTCGGCCGCATCGATTGGATTATCAGACTATTCTGGTACTTCGAGCATCCACCATTTTAATCATATACCTCCGCTATCGGGAAACTCTTCACCATACCCAGCTTCCCCGATGTCCCGACTTTCGTCCAGAAACTCATCTATCGTGTCGGCAGACTGTACACCGCTGACCCACGTGAGCGACGGCAACTCCATCACTTCAAGAAGATCGTCCATGTTCGCCAACGTGGAGACGATGACGGCAGCCCCCCATTTCAAGAGTCCATCGCTGGCTCCTAGGAAGTCTGCATCCGGAACCTCCTCGCCCCAATTTTTCACTACCGCCAACAGTGGCAGCTACCAGTCGCAACATATGTCACTAACGTCGTCATATGGCCCGCCAGCAAAGAAGGATATCTTCAAGAAAGAGTTTGACTTTGGAAAACCCGCGCTCAACAATACTTCAGCTAGCTCTGTTCTCCCTCAACCGTCTTCCGATGATGTCAAGAAAGACAAGGAGAAAATGAGCATATCATTTTTAATTTGATGTATAAATACTATTACATTTGTCTTAGTTATTTAGCCTGGGAAAGGTAACACTAGCTTTCTCTCCACCTCTGTTTCTTTACCAACCTCTTCTTCACCCTCAAACTTCAAGCGACAAGTCCCATCCTTCTTGAATCCAATAACTTCCGCAGGATAAAATGTCGTCGTTTCGGGATATCGTGCTAGGACTCTGTAGCCAACTGGGTAATTTTTGAGCGACACCAAATCTTCTGCAGTGGGCATGAGGATGATTTCCTTCCAAGTGCACTTGAAGATCTGTCCATTCGGGTTGTTTTCATCAGGCTCAGGATCTTTAACCTCAAATTTTATCTCGTTTAGAACCTTCAGGACCTCACACTGAATCCACTCCGCTCCTTTCTGTTTTGGCTTAAAGGCAACTTCTGATCCTACGACAACAGGCTCTGATGGATTATACGGCGACTGATAATACGATCGGCCATATTTCTGCGTTTTGAGCTTATTGCGTCTACCAATCGATCCGTCATCAGCCTCGTGCCCAGTAATTTTAGCTTGTGATAGTAAGCCATTCACGTTGATCAATGCGGTATCCAAAATGCGTTTTGTTTTCTCCAAATTCTCTTTATGCTTTACCACGACATCTCGATTTTGCAATTTCGCATCCTTGCCCTCAGCTGGCGCCAGCTCTAGGGGATCAAAGGAGTTGGCCTCGTTCGCGTTGCAAGTGTCTTGAAGCGACGACACCACAACGTCCCAGTACCCCTCCATGAATACTGCTTTTAGTATTTTTCTCTGCTATTTTTTGAGGTCCGCGTCTCGGTCGCGCCGATCGGCCTCTCTCCCTTAAGCTGAAAAATTTTAGTCAACGATATTCAACTTCTAAATCACAGCATAATGTTCTCATCCAGGATAGTCTCTCTGGTATGTGACAGAGTGAAGACTTCACTTTCTGTTGGGCACCAGTCCATCTTTCAGGTTAGAACTGCCACGAAAAGAGCCGGTGGTTCCAGAACGCATATGAAAGACTCTGCAGGTAGACGTCTTGGCCCTAAGAAACACGAGGGGGAATCAGTCAACGTTGGAGAGATCATAATGAGGCAACGTGGAACAAGATGGTATCCGGGTGAAAATGCTGGAATTGGAAAAGATCATACCATTTTCGCCCTGGAACCAGGATTTGTTAGATATTACCTAGATCCTTTCCATCCGAAGCGCAAATTCATCGGAGTCGTGTTGCGTGAGGGTGACAAACTTCCATATCCTCACTTTGACGCAAGAAAGAGACGATTTGGTCGTCATTTGATCAAAAAGCCAGAAGCGGCCAAAGCCGAGCTCGAGTTTCAAAGCCGTAAGGAGTCTCAAACGCTTCCTGAGTTGTTGAAAAGTGTTGAAGAACGTCAACAGAAACGCGAGGCTAGACTTGTGCAGTTGAAAGAGCAGCTCTCTCAATTTATGGAGCTTGAGTCGGAGGAATTGAAAAACCTGGCTGCTGGTAGACTGCTGCAAATTGACAGATTCTTGAGAGGTGGCAAGTCGCAGGAAGACGCTCAATTCCACACCACCTACAATCATCTGTATGACTTGAAGTTGCAACTACGGAGAAATGAGATCTCGCAAGAGCAGTACGACATATTGTCGAGCCAGTACAAGTCATTAGCTGAGTCAGTGGACTCCAACATCATGTTCGATGCATTTTTTGAGCTCTGTGCGTACAAGACCCCAGAACAAATCAAATCAAATCAGGACGCTGCCATTGCCGAACTCGATAAATTGGTAATTCCTAACCAACCTCGCACGAAAGAACTGAAAGATCAGGTATATGCGATCCTCAGAAGCCAGGACAATTGCTTCACTCTTTCCCAACAATTAGCCTTGAAGCGCAAATATTTGAAACCTGTGCTGCCTGAGGTGGACGGGCTGGTGCTACACAAGCCAGATAAGGAAGCCGTTGCTATCACAAGAATCAACTATGACACAGGCAGGATCGAAACTGTGTACCGTCCGAAAGAGGCGTTTTTACCATAATTGTACATAGATAATTATTAGGTGCGAGCAAGCACGTTGGAAGCCTCATTTTCTTTGTAAACACTGCCGCCGTCCGCGTATTTCTCTATCTTCCAAATCTCTGCCCTTTCCTTGACTTTCTCCAATACCCACTCTCCACAAAGCCAGCCTTCTTTTCGATGAGTTGAGCTGAGAGCAATCATAACGGACTCGGTAGCCACTGGAACCACGCCTGTGCGGTGTACAATTGCGATTTTATGGACGCTGGGAAACCTAGCTTTTGCCTCGTTAGCTATAGTCTCGAGAGTTTTGATCGCCAGCCGTGGATGTGCCTCATATGCGAGAGACACCACCTCTTTGCCTTCGAATGCATTTCTAGTTGTGCCTCCAAAATACACAATTGCTCCTGCATGAGGGTGCCGAACATAATTAAGCACCTCCGCCGAATCCAGCGGCTTATCAGTAATATTTACAAAGACGGACATTAGTTTACAAGAATAATTTTTTTGTGCTATATGATGCGTTCTATTCGTGAACCATTCATTCATTTATTCATTAGCTATAATTTCTCTTCGGGTCTATTTTCCCGTGAATCTACTTCTTTCTTGTCACACCGACTAAGTCGTTCGTGGCAATCGTCGTCAAGCATATAAGCCGGCAGGTACTTGTCCCCAAGCCTGAGAAGCGGGTTCTTTACCGTGTTGTCTATTCCACCTATGGAGGTGTATCCCTGATCGTATAGGGAGCAATATTCGATGTTGGTTGCCTTGATGAAATACCATATTTCGCAGTACGTCCAATCAAGCACCGGGTTAATTCGGTAAAATGCGGGCCAGCCATGATCGGTATGCTGAATATAGGCCAGATTTTCTCCGTATGGATCGATTCGGCGGATACCGACGGCAATAGCTTTGATTTTAGGATTTTGATTCAGGTATTTCTGAAATCCACCTTTCATTTGGTCCTTGATTTTTGTTAGCGAGAGTTGGTATTTTACGACGGAATAGTAGAGGAACTCGTCTTGTTCTTGAAAGCCGACTTCGTTGTTAATGTAAACGCTTGATAATTTATTGTTTTTGAGCTCGAGCAGCTGGTTTTCGTATTTTTCATAGATGGCAGCGAGGTAGATTACCAGCATCACCAAACAATCCTTCCCTCCATTGTAGCTTATCGACAGCTCTTCCAAACTGTACTTTTCTAGCACCTGTGCAAAAATCCGCATACTTTTTAGCACCTGTTCTTGAGTCTTCTGATGGAGCTTATCGTCATCATGGAAAGCGGGATAAGGGCTAAGGCTCCTCGAGCGTTTGCTGGATTTAGGATAAGGAACTCTCAGCGCTAAAAAATCAGTCACTAATGAATGACACTCGCGACAGATATCCACTATTGCCGATGGCATTTTGTACTTTGAGAAGCAGATACTCCTTCAGGAGACTAAGCGTATTTATGTTTTCCAGAAACATTTTTTTTCGGCTACGTAGTTTCTCTGTGGGGCAAGATGTTGCGGAGTTACTGTGAGTCGCTATATACACTATTTAGTCTTTTTATGGCCCCGCTTTGCAACCTCGAGACTCTTCTCTGCGAATCCAGGCACCTGGATGTACGATATGCCTGCTTCCTCCAATTTTTTGCGAGAGACATTAACGGAAATAAAAGTATTTGGCTCCATAACTCCGACATAGCAAGTTGTGAAGCAGTTTTTGTAATCGAGGATCCGATCCAGACATGGTTTATTACCACTCAAGCGCTCGCTGCATGGCTCCATTGTAGTGTAGATCTCACAGCCAGGCGGCAAAGTTCGAGAACCTGTTTTTTGGAAATATTTTTCCATGGCACACTGTTCTGCGTGTGTATTGCCTTCTAGTTCTCTCGTGTGGCCAGTAGAAATTACCTCGCCGCCACGAGTAATGACTGCCCCCACACGGAATGCTGTATCGATCTGCGGACATTTCTCTGCCTGCTCCAGGGCAAGAGCCATGTACTTTTTTTGTGTCTCCACGGCCCATTCTGGAAGCTCTGTTTGGTAAGACCAACCATTCTCCTGCGACGAGCTGTATTTATAAGCATGCAAGTAGAGGTCCAGATCATTAGGGCCAGGGTCGGAGTAAAGCTCACCACCGCAGTCGCTACAATACTGGCCTGTTGACTGTATTTCTCCATCATCATTTGGATGTAGCCAGCTGGTGGCAGGCTCTGTTTTGCCAATCTTGGATAATTTTTCCGCAATGGCTTCAATGTTAAAGTCGGCACCTTTTCCTAAGCTTGGCCCCCAAATCTTGGGAGAGGAATACAACGGGTCATTCACTATGGGGTATCCGAGATATTGTAGATGAACTCTGATTTGGTGCGTGCGGCCAGTCAGCGGCTTACAGATCACCAGGCTCGTGGTTCCATCGTACGAGAGTCTTTTGAACACTGTTTTGGCTTCTTTTCCATTTTCACGATCAACAATATTGAACGCGATTCTAGGGTCCACTGTTCTCAAAGGTTCCTCGCAGACAATTTCCTGGTGTGCAGGAAATTCGCCAACGACCTTAGCAATGTACTCCTTGGAGACTTCTCTTTCGCGCATCTGTTTGACCATTTTCTCTGCCCCCGCAGCAGTCTTGCCCAGAAACATCAACCCACTCGTCAGTCGATCAAGTCTATTACAAGGATGGGCCTTGATTCCCATTTCTCTCTCTAAAATAAAAGTCACTGTGTTATGACGATACCGTCCTGTAGGATGGACAGGTATTCCAGACGGTTTGTCGATCACCAACAGTTCGTCATCTTGATGTACAATCTTCACGGGTCTTGAGGTCACTGGAGGTTCGTGGCGGTGCATTCTGTGCGATATCAAATCGCCGTTTTTCAATATTGTATCCGTGTTGGCAACTTTTTCGTTAATGGTCACTCTGCCCTTTTCTAATGCATTTTGATAGTAGCTTTTTGGATGCAACCGAAATTCATGTGCAAATACGTCCAGGATATTTCGATCGATCCATCGCTGCTTACAGTGAGTCATGTAGGTAAAGTAATACGGCCTCAATCTCCGGACGGGGCCGTCTATGCTGTACACCGCATCGTCTTCCTCCTCTTTGATAGTCTTATTCAAGGGTATGTCCGTCAAGTTCTTAGCGTTCTTGTCTCCTCCAAGCTTTTCGTATGCAGACTTCTGTGCTGCATCCTGATACACCTGGCGAACTCGAAATCCCTTGCCGTCAACTTTGCGAAGTTTATTGGGCTGCTCAGAAACCATCCTGCTGATCACTCTGAACATGAAAAATTTCGATCGATTTTTTATTTCCATGCTTCTTCTCTCGAGTCTTTTTCATAAGATCCGAACATATTCTACCAAGGTGGAGAACCCACGACTGCGGAACTATGACACTTTCAATCCCACCCTACGAGCCACCATCCAACAGTTGGATGCCATGAGCCCTCGCTTCGAGCTCGCTAAAAATCAACTAGAAATACTCTACCATCCCGCTGACTTCTACAATCTCATCAAGCAAAAAATTGGATCAGCAGAGAATCGCATCTTCCTGTCGTCACTTTACATTGGAAAAACGCAGCATGAGCTTGTCAAATGTTTGCAGGACTCATTGTCTCAGAAGCCTGAGCTCAAGGTCGACATCCTCGTTGACTATCTTCGTTCTACGCGAGAGTCTCCTAATCCTTGTCCAGCATCACTCTTAGCACCACTAGTGGAGAAATTTGGCAAGGAACGAGTCAACATTCGTTTCTATCACACTCCGCATCTTTCAGGCATAAAAAAAGCTCTGCTTCCAAAAAGAATAAACGAGGGATGGGGATTGCAACATATGAAAATATGTGGCTTCGACAAAGAAGTGATACTCACAGGTGCAAATCTCTCAGAGGACTACTTCACCAATCGTCAGGACAGATACTATCTTTTTAAAAGCGCACCTTTGGCAGACTACTATTTTGGCCTGCAAAAAGCAGTCGGCTCAATAAGTTACCAGCTACTACCTTCCAAAACTTCTGAAAAATATACATTAGAGTGGCCTTCGTCCAACTTTGCCTCGGAGCCTCATCTTAACGTTGAACGGTTTATCAAGGAGTCCACCAGACTCGTTCTCCCGCTTCTAAGAAGCCCCGTTACCAAACCTGAGTACCTTGCTGACCCTGAGATTATCGTCTACCCTGTGTCCTCGTTCAAGCCAATCATGAACCCTGATAGGTCCACTGAAAAGCCTGCTATTCTGCGCCTACTGACGCTCCTCAACGACCCTGGCGTGAAATGGGCCTTTACTGCAGGATATTTCAATGTCCACCCAGATATTAGTTCCAGGCTTATTGAGTCGCATGCAAAAGGAACTGTCATCACCGCTGCTCCAGAGGCAAGCTCGTTCTATAAATCGAAAGGTATTTCCAAATATCTTCCAGACGCGTATCTCTACAAAGCACAACTTTTCTTGGAACAAGTTCGTCGCAGAGACTGTGTCAAACTGCTCGAATGGCAGAATGGCATTGTGAATACCCCCACCGGATGGTCCTACCATGCTAAAGGGCTCTGGCTGTCGCTCTCAGGGGAGAATGAGCCTAGCATAACTGTTGTCGGCTCCTCGAATTATACTCGAAGAGCGTATGCTTTGGACCTCGAAACGAATGCAGTGGTGATCACGAAGAACAGGTCGGTGAAGGAGCAGATGGCCAAGGAATTGCAAAACCTGACCAGCCACACCACTCAGCTGACAGATTTTAGCCACCGTCAGATCAGCCCAGGCGTGAAAATAGCAACGACGATTCTTAGCAAAATGCTATGAGCTACGTAATTTACTCTTGTATAAAACCATTTTAGACCATTTAAACAGATAAATGTTCCCAATCCCCTGCCTAGTTTTTGTTCTTGAGCGATCTGCGTTCTTTAACGGCCTCGGCTAGCATCTCCAGCACTTCCTCGGTGCTTTCCCAGCCAATACAAGCATCGGTTATGGAGCAGCCATATTTCAAAGCGTCTTTCCCTCCTTCCTCGAGCGGTGGCACGTCCTGTCTTCCTTCGTTAATATTGCTCTCGATCATGACACCGCAAATCGTGCTGTTTCCATTTTTGAGCTGGCGGGACACCTCAGCAGCGACCTTCGGTTGGTTACGGTGGTCTTTGCATGAGTTGCCGTGAGAACAGTCCACCATGATTCTGGCTTCTCCGTCTTTGAGAATACCAGCCTTGACCAACGCTTGCTCTGCTTCTTTTACGCTTTGTTCGTCGTAGTTCGTACCCTTCTTACCACCGCGCAGGATGATGAAAGTGTCCTTATTTCCTTCGGTACCAACAATAGCAACGACACCTGGCTTCGTGACCGATAGGAAGTGGTGGGGGTGTGCGGCGGCACGCATAGCGTCGACAGCCACGCCGAGCGAGCCGTCTGTTCCATTTTTGAAACCAACAGGGAAAGACAGGCCGGAGGCTAGTTCCCTGTGTAGTTGGGACTCTGTCGTACGAGCTCCAATGGCACCGACGGAGAACAAATCGCTCAAAAATTGAGGAGAAATAGTGTCCAACATCTCACCAGCAATCGGAAGCTTTTCTGTGAGTCTGACAAATAATTCTCTGGCAATTCTGAGTCCCTTGTTAATGTTGAAAGATCCATCAATGTCTGGATCATTGATGAGACCTTTCCAGCCGACAGTAGTCCGAGGCTTTTCGAGGTATGCTCTCATGACAATGTGCAGTTCTCCTTTGACTTTCTCCTTGAAAACTGACAGCCTGTTGCAGTAATCAAGAGCAGCCTCGGGATCATGTAAAGAACATGGCCCGATGACTACCAGAAGTCTGTCATCCTTTCCATTGAGAATATTGCAGGCATCTTCTCTTCCTTCCAAAATGTTCTTTTCAGATTTGCTGGTCAGTGGGTATTCATGCTGAAGAAGATCCGGAGGAGTCAGTGGGTTATAACCTCTAATTCTCCAGTCTTCCAAGCGGGATCTATCTCCGACGTGTGGATTTTCCATGAACATTCTGCTGTGGGATCCGGTTGGCGCCTGGTTGGTCAGCATGACGTTAAAAAAGGAGCCAAAATTTCAGACAGGTGGCTTGTGATACGTAACACAGCATGGTGTTTCAGCAAGACTGTCCAAAATCTTCCTCCAGGTTATACACTTACTGGCATCGTGCTTTTGGTTATAATACTAAGTTCCGGATTTGTGGTTCAACTTATATAAATCAAAATGTATGACTAAATTCTGTTCTATTAAACTTGAAAAAATTTAAGCGTGCACGGGTGCACGCGGATGTGACGCAACAAGGCATATGATTTCTCAAATTCGTATCGATCCGGATGCAATGCCCCGGTAAATTTCATCGGTGAGCGGCTCATACTTTTTAGTGCTGAGGTTGAGATAGTAGACCGAATCTTTATTGCTCGGGCCAAATGGCAGGACAGGGTCTCTGAATCTCTTTTTCGATACCTTGTGGTTGTGGGTGTGCTCAATGATGTCAAATTTGACAAAGCACGGGCGTGCAAAATGAGGTAACTGTGACCACACTAGTGCCCCCAGCTCTGAAAGCAGTTTTGCTCTCTCGTCTTCAGATTCCTTGTTCCTCGATTTGGTCTGTAAAATAGCGTAGCCGCAGCGGCCTTCGTGATTAGGAACCCTTGCTCCCACGACGACGCTGACATCAATTAGAGGATGTGATTGTAGACTATTTTCCACCTGAGTGGTGCTCACATTCTCAGACTTCCACCTATATGTGTCGCCCAGTCGATCCACAAATTTGATGCATCCATACTCGTCGTACTGGAAGAGGTCGTCAGTTCTGATCCACGCGTCACCTTTGCGAAAAACGTTGCGCACAATTTTCGAGTACGTTGCATCATCGTTATTCACATATCCTGGGAAGGTGGCCTTGATGTTTCTTGGGTTCAGAACATGCATCAGGAGCTCGGCATTTTCTCCAGCCCGAGGCTTCTCGCAGTATCCCTGTTCGTTTCTGTATAGCGTTGCGTCGTCATCCTTTTCCGTCTTGACCAGGCAATACATCACACTCAGAACTTTATCTGCTAGCCATCCTTGGTTTCTGATGCAGCCAATGCCAATTCCCGATTGCTCGTAGCATGTCGTCGCAAAAGGTCCCTCACTACTGGCGTAGAACTCTCCTATAGCAGGGATTTCAAATCTTTGCTTGAATTTCGTCCATATATCAGCACGCAGCCCGTTTCCAACAGCAAGTCTGATTTTTCCATGACACCATTTCTCGTCCTCTGTAGCTGGTCCATTAAGGAGGTAGCGACACACCTCACCCACGTACTGGATAGTATTGGCTCCAGCAAGCCTGACCTGAGTCCAGTAGGAAGAGAGAGAAAACTTTGTGCCCAAAGAAAGCGTGCCACCGTGAGCCAGAATAGGGAGCACACCAAGAATGGACGCAGTGCCGTGGTATAGCGGCATCGCGGTGTACATGTTAGTGGAGCCGTTGAGTCTCACCGCATGGGGGAAGAAATAAGAAGCAAAGAACACTTTTCGCCATGAGTTGACAGCAGATTTCGGTAATCCAGAGGTTCCGCTGGTGAATATCAGTACTGCCGGCTTGTAGTATAGCAGATCTCTATCCCGATCTGCATCATCGAGTCTAAAGGTGGGAGACGAAGGATTTTGAATATTCTTGAGCCACTCCTTTTGGTCAACATAGACACATCTCAAATCAGGAATCTTTTCATGAATCTCGTCTTTAGTTCCATCAAAAAGGCTTCTACACTCCTCGTCCACAAACACAAGCTTGGAGTCAACAACAGAAAGCGAATGTACCAGTGCTTTATGGGTCAGATTATTATTCTGGAAGCATGGGATTGCACCCAGGTTCCACAAAGCTAGCCATATCATAATAAATAGTGGACTGTTGTTCATGTATAGAGACACAATGTCATTTTTCTTGACCCCGTACTCCGTTTTCAAAATATAAGACAAGCGCAAAACGAGGCCATAAAGCTCGCCATAGGTGTATTTCTCGATGTCAAATTGCCCCTTGGCAGCTGCTGGCCGTAAATATATAAGAGCAGTATTCTGGGCATGCTTCTTCATGGACGCCTCTAGGTGGTACCATAGAGAAACTCGTTTCGTAACATAACAGTGGTAAAAATGCCGGATGAACTGATAGATGATGACAGGTGCCAGGTAGAGATCTTCCCGGAGCCGATACTTTCTCTCCCAACTGATCGCATACTCAATCAAGCGGCTTCTAAAAGCGAAAAGCAGAACGAGCAGCGCCAAAGCGCTTGTTATTACCAACATCGAGAATATTGTCTGTATATTAGACTTATCTATATATGCAAAATTATTTCGTGGAAAATCACACCAGAACCGTTTTTCCGGTTACAAGTGCCAATAGCCTTTTTTGTTAGCGTTTCCCACCATGATGGGCCAGGACAGGAAGGTTCCGAGTCCGGCAAACCAGATTGGTAGCAACCGGGCGTGGAAGCCGAGTTCTCTAAAGAGAGGGTTTGGGCCAATGCTTTTGCTTGCAGCTTTTGCTGAATTAAATGCGACACTGGCTATAGCTGACATTGTAGTAATAATAGTATATGATACACGGACGATAGTTACAAAGATATTTCATCTTCTATTGGCTCTTTATATACCCCAATAAGGTGGAGTGATTTGGTCACCACCAGGAAGCTGAGTGGTGCGGACATCAAAAATCACTCCACTTATTCCTGTTTGACTTCCTTTTTTGGAATACCTCTGGCAGTCAGGAAATTGAATATCGGGGTACCATTCTGATCGTCGTATCCAGCAAATCCATCGATAAAGCCAAAGAACCCGTAAAAGACGTTGTCGCGCTCCTCTTCGGCGTAAATTTTGTCGTAGATATGTTTGCGCTTGAATTCATCGATTTCTGCAGCAAACTTATCAAAAGAAAGCGGGTTGTATCCGAACTTCTCGAGCTTGGCATTGTAGCTCTCGTATACTGGCTGCTCGAGCAAAAGTCCCAAAGCTGGCGCCTTAGGAATGTTGACCTTCTCGGGGCCAAAAGCCTCCTCTATTCTGGCCAACGGACAGCCTGTTCTCACAACAAGCGTAGCCATAGCAATCATCTTACGAATTTGGTGGAGCATGAATGATTGACCGTGGATCTTGATAGACACCCATTCCTGGTCGTTCACCACAATAGGGTCGCTCACGGTGATATTCTTCATGAATCTAATCGCAGACGGGTCTTTGTAATCCTTCCCGTTGGTGAAATTGTGGAAATTGTGCGATCCAAGATAGATTTTCAGAGCGTCTCTCAGTAGATCCAGCTTCTCAGCAGAAATTTTATACCGCTTGCGGGCTGCATTCATGATTTCTCTGGATTTCTTGTCTGCGAGTTCAAGCGGAACAGTCAACTGGATTCCTTCTCTATTTGCCTCTCTAATCTGCGCCATTTGGTCCTCTGTAATGCCAGCCTTCTCGAGCTCAATATTCACCTCCTCCCAGAATTTCTCACCTTGTGGGTCTTTTCTCGTCGTACCCGGAAATTCCTTCTCAGCCTCAAGAATTTGGGTTGCAAGGGGACTGCTTGGTTTTGGAGGAAGGAATGAGTACGTTGGCATTAGGTACTCATAAATTCTTGAGGAACACACTTTGCGACAGTCAAAAGACTTATTGACCCGCTCATAGCCCCAAAACCGAATTTGTTCGGGAAGATAGCTGTTGATTTTCTCAACCAAGTTTGGATCCTCAATGATAAGCTTTAGAGAAATCACATTTCCAGCAGCATGCACACCTTTATCGGTACGGGCAGCTCTCATAAAACTGCTCTTTTTCAAGTCGTTAGAATTGTTCTTTGATATTGCCCCTGCCTTCACAAAAGCATCAAATAAATCACCCTCAATGGTCTTAGCGGGAGGGTTCATCTGCATGCCATGGTAGCCAGTTCCACAGTAGCTCAAAAAACATGCTACCTTCTTCTTGGGCTTTCTTTCCTCATCCTCATATTTAGGAGTACCATCCTCATTCAAAATCCGTCTGCAATGTTAGTAAATTAACGTTCGTAGACAGAGTCTTCTGAATCTCGTGTCCAGCAGCTCTGTCTGCGAAAACATACCCACGTGTCCTGGACTTTCTTGAGGACTCTCTGTCTCTTAGCTGTGTCACCAATGACGTCTCCTTTCCGGGTGCGGAGCCATTTATTACTAGGATCCTTTCTGCTGCCTTGTTCGTCATCGTCATAGGCTTCAGCAACTTGATCAGGTTCCTCAGTACGTTCATTGATGAGCTCTGACATCGATGCTTGTTATTGAAAAATTTTAAAAAAGGCAGTGCTTGACGATGTTAGAAAAAATTTCAAGAAAATATCTGATACATAGCTAATCAATGAGGCCGCTCACCGAGGAGGAGACCAAGGTTGTTTTCGAAAAGCTGGCCAACTACATTGGCCGTAATATCGCATACCTGGTGGATAATAAAGAGGATCCTCATGTTTTTAGATTACAAAAAGATAGAGTCTATTATGTCAGTGATCGCATAGCGAAAGTTGCAACTTCTGTCGCAAGACCAAACCTCATGTCTCTTGGTGTGTGTTTCGGGAAGTTCACAAAAACCGGAAAATTCAGACTGCATATTACCTCCTTGAAATACCTGGCTCAATACGCAAAATACAAGGTCTGGATCAAACAAAACGGAGAAATGCCATTCTTATACGGAAATCATGTCCTCAAAGCACACGTTGGAAAGATGAGCGAAGACATTCCAGAACATGCCGGAGTGATAGTTTTCTCTATGGCAGATGTGCCTCTAGGATTTGGTGTTAGCGCAAAGTCGACTATCGAAGCGAAGAACTTGCAACCAACAGGTATTGTGGTTTTCCGTCAAGGAGACATTGGAGAATATCTCAGAGACGAGGATACGTTGTTTACATAGAACTTAGTGATGTTTGCCGGTATATGAGTTATTTCTTTCCCTTCTTCTTTTTCCCGGCCTGCTTTTTGTTTATGGCAGGAGACGATGAACTGGATCCGATGTTGAGTGATTCCTCAGCGGCTTGGTCAACGACACCTCCCTGCGTGTCTTTGCCTTTCTTGCCCTTCTTAGGTTTGTAGTAAGACCTATCCTTCATTGGTAACCATCTTTCCTCGTCCAATTTTTTTGAAAGGTCCTTTGGAAGCTTTTTCGGTTTGTTTCGCTTTCGTTTTTCGACTTTGGAGGCTCCTTGACTGATTTTGGTGGTGGATGTTTTCGAAAATAATGGCTGCAGTCCTTGTTCTAGTAGTGAGTCTGCGTCAACCTTGGATATCAGTGGCTCCACATCTCCCAAGCTGGTTTCTGCTTCTCCGCCTAAAACCACGGAAACTAGGGGGTCTGAAGACACTGCAGACTGGAGTTTTTGGAATAATTCTTGGGATTTTGCTTCGTCAAATGCTATCATCTGGAATGCCACAAATTTGAGTAGTTTTAGTTGGTCAACAGTCTTCAGCTCTGCAGAAAGTAGATGCTGATAGAGACTAAGGAGTAGCTTAATTTTATCGTTTTCTCTGTCAAGCTTGTCGTAAACAGCAAAAAGCAAGCAGGCAATTGCCGGCCTGAGAAGCACCGACGAGTCAGCTTCAACCGCAGTCTCCAAGACGCGAGCAGCATTTTGGTTTTTTCCGGAACTCACACTCAATTGTGCAGCGAACAAGCATAGGCCCAGCTTCTTCGGATTTTTGATCGCCTCTCTGAAAACCAGCTTCTCATTGATCGATGATTTGAAGTTCTCAGAGTCAAACTCTGCTATTTTAGATATACCAGCTAGGGCCTGTGGCAGTAAAGACTCTGGGAATCGGTGTTCGTGCTTGGCCGCAGACTTAGAAACGGATTTTCCAGCCTTGTATGCTAACAAGATCTCGTTTCGCTGCAAATCTCTTATTTGTCTCATCACCAACCTATCAAGGATCCTATTGAGAGACTGTGGTAGTCCAAGCTTTTTGTACAAAGAAGCTGCACTAGGCGGTGTTTCTTGAAAGGAAGCCAGATTCGTGGTGATGAGAACTTTCAAGACCTGGTTCTTCAACTTCGACAAATTTATTTCGTCATAGAATGGCTTAGCAGCATCCTTTCCGCTCAACATTTGTGTCAGAAATGCAATTTCAACGTCTATAGGAGCAAGTTCTTCCAGTTGTTCCTCTTCTTCGTAATCTGCAAGGGAAACCAGACACTGCTGTCTGGCTTCTCGCAGAAGCTCTAAGGAGCCCTCATAGTCACCGTCTCTTAGGAGAATTAAGGCAGAATTGAATTTTTGGTCGTATGAGTTGGAGTGTGGGGCAGAGATGGGCTGCAAGTTGCTGTCCTCAGAATAGACTTCCATCTGCGAAAGCACAGCGCGCTCATTGACACTGAGATCCAGCACTTCTTCTGGTGGAGTGTCATTCAAAAGCTCTCTGTATATTTTCAACGCGGTTTCGTTTTTACCAACACGATAGTAGTGTTGAGCTAAGACATGTTTTAGGCCGCGATTATTAGATCCATGAGATACAAGCTTTGCTAGTGACTTTTCGTCGTCAAGCTTGTAGTAGATATATGCCAATTCAACAATGAGAATCTCGCGATTTTTAGCAATTAGGTCACTATGTTTGTCAAGCACTTCGCGGGCGGTCTTGTAGTTGTCAAGGTTGATGAGGGCCACCAAACATTGTTTGAGAGCGGCAACATTGGACGGCTGCTGGCTCAGAATCTTGGATCCCAGATCAAAAACTTGTCTGTGGGAGTCAGACTTCGAAAAGACCTGCAATTGTGAGACCAAATCTGACAGAGACATGCTGTTGACGTTGGTCGATGAGTTTTGATGACGAAAAATTTATAGCAGGGTAATCCATGAAAAATACCTAATTAAATTCTCTTGATCTATGCCACCGCTCATCCAGGCGATACCGCATGCTTGCACCAGAGCCTCATGCGTCTCTGGAAGGAGGCTCTTTTTTCATTCTGTTTATTCGTTTGCATCATATGCTAAATCCTCTGCCAAGTCTTCGGGCAAGCTCAAGATGGTTTCGAGCGAAGAAAAGGCATATAAGTTTGGAAGCGGTCCAGCTCTCAAGAACTTCGACAAAGAAGAACTTCGGGGCCTATCTGGGCTCTACGAGCGCGTGCATGAGTTTTACGAACTCAAGTTACTTCCCGAAGTGAGGTCAGCAATGATAGAAGAGCTGAAAGAAAATACCGTTCTCAAGTCCCAGAACTACATGAGTCCTAACAGGAAAAAACTGTCCGAGTCTGAGCTGAGTGGCCTTGTGATACGGCCTACTAACATCCAAAAAGCTGCTATCAAAATTATAAATGGTACACCAAGAACCCCCAAGCTTCTCAACCCTTACATTCTAGCAGGAGAAACGGGATCAGGGAAAACATGGGCCTACTTGGCACCACTTTTGCACAGATTGCGCGAGTTTTATCTTGCAGAGGGCTTTGAGCAATCCAATAAACCTGGGATACGAAGCGTTATCTTGCTTCCAACCCACGAACTGGTTGATCAAGTCTTCAAAACTGTGAAGCATACCAGGGACACCCTGGGCACAAAAGCAGTGCAATGGGATTTGGACTCGAACTTCAGGGAATTTATGGACAATTATAGACAGGGAATCGACGTTTTGGTGACTACGCCAGGAAAATTGGCATCTTTGGCAAAATATGATGATGTCCAAAACCTTAGACAGCTGCTAAAAAATGTCAGCTTTTGTGTGGTAGACGAGGCAGACACACTCATGGACGAATCTTTCATCGAGGATACCTATGACCTGCTCAAGAAAATGAATGGTCTGCGTCACTTGGTGTTCGTCACGGCTACCATTTCCTCGTCGCTGAGAAAAGTGGTGAAGTCATTGTTCCCTGACTTCGTTCCAATCACCACTCCTTCGCTCCACAAAATCCCAAAAGCAATTGAGGTCCGTGTGATAGACGCTAAACCTAAACCATACAACGGATCACGACTCAAAGCACTCGCTCAAGTTCTTTACGCTATCCATTGTGACGGAACAGAGCCGGGTTATGAAAAGCGAGTTGTCGTGTTTGTTAACGAGAAAAAACAGGCTCCGGTTTTAGCTCAGCAGCTCAGAGAGAAATACAAACATGATGTAGAGAGCTTGACATCAGACGATACACCCGAGAACAGAAGACGGATTCTGGAGCCTTTCATCAGTCCACCCCAGCCCTTGAAGGATCCTTCGAAGCCAACACTCAAGGTGCTTATATGCACAGACCTGATGTCCAGGGGTATTAATTTCCGCGGTGTGCGGAACGTGGTACTGTACAATATTCCAAACATGACCTCGGACTTGGTCCATAGAATGGGACGGACAGGAAGAATGAACCAGTCGGGAAGAGCATTTTTGATTTTGGAAGATAAAAGCGCTCCTAACACCAAGGGACTTGCAAAGGTGTTGCGTAATAACAGACGTTTGGCATGAAAGGTATTTGTATATATATTAGGTATTTTCAAGACTCATGAAGGTGGATGGCCAATGGAGCCGATTTTTGAGTATCCAAGGGTGTTTTCCAACTTCAGAGAGTCTGAAGCGCTTCTCTGGCTCGTACTTAAGTAGCTTGCGGATAAGGTCGGCGGCATCTGGTGAGACAAAAGAGGGAATGCGAAGGTCAACTTTGGCGATGCGTTTATATGTGGTGCTTGAGTTCTGCTCTTCAAAGGGAGGCCTACCAACCAGGAACTCATAGAGCAGGATTCCTAATGCCCACACGTCCACTTTTTCGTCGTGAGTTTTGGCTTCCACCATTTCTGGCGGCAGGTAATCCAGGGTGCCGCACATAGTAGTTCTTTTCGAGTGGGCAGGGGCGTACACGCTCCACCCAAAGTCGGAAAGCTTAATCTGGTTGTTGAAGTGAAGCAGGATATTCTCCGGTTTAAGGTCCCTGTGAACGATATGCTTTTTGTGTAGGTAGCTGAGTGCACTGGCTACTTGAAAGATGTAGTAGGACGCGGTGACGTCATCAAACCGCCGCTTGGACTTGAGCACTTTGTAAAGTTCTCCCTCAGCCGCGTATTCCAGAATCAGGTACACGTTTTTGTGATCGTGAAACCAGCCGTAGAGGCGTAAACAGTTCACGTGGCGCACGTTTGCCTGTATCTCGATTTCTCTGACAAATTGCTTTTCAACCTTATAGTTTAGCAACTCGCGCTTATCCATGACCTTCAATGCGCATACAAACCCTGTCTCGATCTCCCGCACACAATAAACCTTTCCAAACTTACCCTTCCCCAGTTTACGACCGAGCTCGAAATCACTAATCTTCCAATTCTTACGGAGCTGTCTTGGCAGAGATTCCAAGGGAGTCGACTTGCGCAGTGACAGGCGGTTAAAAACAGAGCTGCGAGCGTCCATCGATTTGCGCACGGGAGACTTGATGGGCCAAAAAGGACTGTTTGCAATATCCGCCATTTGTTTACAATTGTGACAAGCGAAATTTATGCATTTTCACAGCCTTAATAAATATCACCCGGTGACCTCGGAGTAAGTGAACCACATCCGGGCATATATTAGTGGATGTTGTGAGGCTGAAACAACAAGCTTCGTCTATGCCTCTCTCTTGGGGTTTGCCGATGTTCTTCTGGAGATCAGTTTCAGCGCTCTTTGACGCTAAAGCACGGTGCGGCACCAAAGTCCATTCTGGGCTTTTCCAAGAGAGCCATTACGTCATAACGGAAAGGGTTGCTACTAATGCATATATATATATTTCTCAGCCAGTCGATTGATTTTCAATGGTGAAATCACAATTACTTGATATCGGCGAATTGCCAAGGCCAGACCCTAAGCTCGAAGGATCCCCATTTGAGCTTTTCTCCCTGAAAGGCAAGGTGGCTGTTGTGACTGGTGCTTCGAAAGGCATTGGTTTGGCGGTGGCTGAGGCCTATGCCAGTGCAGGAGCCAATGTGGCTCTTCTTTTCAATCAGACGCCCATCGACGAGATCGTCAAGGAATTCAGCGAGAAATACGGTGTGGAGTGTCGCGAATACAAATGTCCCGTGACTGACTTCCGCGCGGTGAACGAGACTGTCGACAAGATCGTTTCCGATTTTGGCAAACTGGATATATTCGTTGCAAACGCAGGGGTAGCTTGGGATAAGGGCGAGATTCTATCCATCGAGGACGACGAAGAGGCCATCGATGAGTGGAAGAAACTGTTTAGCATTGACGTTGACGCCATCCATTACTGCGCCAGAGCAGTTGGCAAGTATTTCAAGAAACAGGGGTCTGGCTCGTTTATCATCACCTCCTCCATGTCTGCACACATTGTGAATTTCCCGCAACTACAGGCCCCGTACAACGCCGCCAAAGCTGCTGTCACACATTATGCGCGCAGTTTAGCTGTCGAATGGGCAGGTTTCGCAAGAGTCAACACAGTGTCTCCCGGATACGTGAAAACAGAGCTTGTCGCTCAGCTACCTTCAGACCTGATGAACAGATGGCTTGGGCTGATCCCACTTGGTAGACTGGCCCTTCCGAAAGAAATTGCAGGCGCCTACGTATTCCTTGCGAGTGACGCTGCCAGCTATTGCACAGGCAGCGATATTTTAGTGGACGGTGGCTACTGTGTGGCTTAGTAGTTTATAGATTTTTTACATATGTCACGGCAACTGTTTCATGTTCTAGTTTTCAAGATATTATTTGTAGTATCTCTCGTAATACTCGTATGGTGGAATGAGAGAGTCTTCCTCTGTGCGCTTGATTTTTTCCTCCTCCAACTCCTCGGTCCATTCATTGAATTCCTCCTCGCTACCAACTGGTCTCTCGGCTATGGTGGTCAACCGGAACGCATGTCTCAAGTTGTCGGAGTCCCAGTCCAGCGTGGCTGTGTGCAGCAAGCGACGATTGTCCCAGATGGTGATGGTTCTCTCGTCCCACTGCGCACGGATGTGAGCATCCAGACAGGTCTCAAGGTGTCTGAATAAGAATTCAAGCAGGGCCTGGCTCTCCTCTAATTTGAGACCCAGGATTCTTCTAGAGAAGTTTCTGTTGACGAACAAACACTTCTTCTTTAGGACAGGGTGGTATCTGACCAGTGGGTGGATTGAGTCAATTGGAGTTTTCCTCTCAATGCCTCCCTGCTGCCGGGCATTGGAAGCCTGGTCCTTTGATGTGTGCAGAACCTTGAGGCCGTCCAACAGCTTTTTCATGGTTGGCGAGAGTCTTTCGTAAGCCTCTATAGTGTCAAGGAACTGCGTGTCTCCACCAACATCAGTTTGCAACATACCAAACAGAGTGATTCCAGGAGGCTGGGTCTCGTACGTGACATCAGAATGCCACGTGATGTTGTTCAGCTTGTTGGCAAAAGTCTTTTTGGCCTCATCCTTGCTTCCTCTTCTAAAAGTGATGTGGAACTCAGGCTGTCCCAGAGGAGCTCCAGAGGTTGGATGGACATGCAAAGGACCGAAATGTCTACCCCAGTCCTTGATAAAGTCGAATGATTGGTCCTTGAAGTCCTGGTCTCTGAAGACGACAACACCTCTCTGCTCCACAAGCAAGGCGAGATCGTCTTTTTGTCTAGCGGTGAGTGCGCTCAACTGCACGCCAGTGACCTCAGTTCCGAGCTTAGGACTAAGCTTTCTGGTTTGAACGTTTTCACCAGAGAGCAAGCTTTGGAAAGTAGGGTCCCCAAAGTAGGCTCTGTCGGTATGTCTGAATGGCTTAGGGTTGGTGAAAGCCATTTGGTGCTTAGGGTCCCAAGTAGGAGTCCAGTCTGGATACTTGAGACGCTTGTAGTTCTCATCAGAGATAGAGTAGACTCCATTCCGGATGGTGTCTTCTCCCTTTCTGAAGTGGATGTCGCTGTTGCTGTAGACAGTAAGTGGAACAACCATGATTTTAGAAGAAGATAGTAGCAATCACGACTATATTTATAGTTTCTCGCCCAGCAAAGCTGTGGTGGTGGCAGACAACAACTGTGGATAAAATACATCTGACTCACGTGACTTGCTATCTGTCTGTTCCTGATAAGGAAATCGATAAGTACACCGATTAATACAAGGTCGGCCAACGATCGGGTGCCACATCGGTCGTTCACCGTACCCGCTTGGCGGCTTGTCTCCTGTTTCGGAGTTATCTGAGCTAACATTAACGAGTCGAGTGCCAACCGTGTCAGATCAAGCCGCAGGGCCCCGAGTGATTTTCCATTTGCAGATTCCAGGTTGCGTCTTTTATGCTAATAATTGTCTGAGTACTGTGCCAATGGTCTCGGTGGCTACCATGTTGAACTGGTCTTGCTAACTGTAAGAGATTGGAGCACGATTCTGTAATTGTTTTTTCGTCTCTCTTGGGTGTCGCTCGCTAAAACTTGTCGGGTGGAGACTCCAACGATCGTGGTGTGTGATTCAGTTTGCAATCGTATCACCCGTACATAAGTACATCCCCCTGAAAAACCGGTCTTAACTACCTTCTCCTACTCTGCAAGTAGTATGGCACGCCTCACTCACTATTTTGCATTATTGGCAGCTTCTTGACTCTCTGTGTGCACAGCCTTGTATCAAGTGACCCCAAACTAGTACGTCACACGTTTCAAGATCGACATTATCGTCTGTAACTGTCCTGTACAGTGCCTTTTTTGGATACAGCAACGTCTTGATCTAGCTCCTGCTATATAGGCCACATCTAATCCCTGTAACATCAGATTTGCACAATATTTTTTTACCGTGCAGCAAGTGCCAGATGCTCTTTCTACTCTGTTTTGTCGTTTCTTGTTTTGCACAGCAGGCTCTACCCACTTCAGATTCTCGTGTAGCAATTGTGGGGGCCGGTGCTGGAGGTGCTTCATGTGCTTACTACCTCCAGAAGTTCACCGATTATCAGTTCAACATCACAATATTTGAGAAAAATAGCTATGTGGGAGGTCGGGCCACCATTATTGACTTTGATGGAGTCGAAGCAGAACTTGGGGCCAGCATGTTTATTGAGGACAATAAAATCCTATACAATGCCGTTGACGAGCTCGACCTAAGTTTCGCAAATAGCTCTTCCGAGTCCACCTCGTTCGCGCTCTGGAACGGAGAGTCCATGGACTACATATTAGAGCCTTCGTCAAATTCTTTGGTTACAAACCTCAAACTGTTGTGGAGGTTTGGGCTGTACTCCATTGCGGCTGTGAAATATCAGCAGCAGGCTGCTATGAAGACGTTTCTCACCGAATACTACGAAAAATACTATCCTCTGCCGTCTCTCAACTCGGTCACCGATCTGCTGAAATACACAAGTGTGACAGCCAAGGACCTATTTGACTCTATATGGGTGAGTGCTAACTACCAGAACTTTGTGCAATCCTTGACCCGAAATAATTACGCTCAGAATCTTGGTACGATACATTCGTTGGGAAGTCTGGTGCTGCTCTCTGGAGAGTCGTCGTTTCATGTTGCAGGAGGAAATAACCAAATATTCGAGAAATGGGTACAAGCCTCTGGTGCTGACCTGCGGCTCAATACCCCAGTAACCTCAATTTCCAAAACATCTTCAGGATACGCTGTTTCGTATGGCTCGCATACCGAGGACTATGATGTCGTTGTCCTTGCGGGGCCATATGACCAGCTAGACATCAAAACAAACATCTCTGTGTCACTGGTCAACGTTCAATATGTCCATCTCCATGTGACTCTGGTTAGAACACCGCATTTGCTTTCTGAAAGCTCGTACTTTAACAATAAGAAAACCCCACAAACAGTCTTAACCACTGGTGGTGACAAGTTCAACTCAATTGGTTTTGTGGGATATAGTGATACGTATCAGGAGTACGTGTATAAAGTGTTCAGCTACCAAAGTCTGGATGAACAGCTCCTGCAAGGATTATTTGGAAAATACTCTAACAAGTACGAGAAAACCTGGTACAGCTATCCGTATTTGAGTCCAATAAGCAAGTTCGACGAATTCAAGCTTGCAGATAACCTCTACTACCTCAATGGTATGGAACAATTGATAAGTACAATGGAAACTTCGTCGTTAGCAGGTGCCACAGTTGCTGGGTTATTAGCCCAAGGAAGGAACACTACACAGATAACAGTGCCATGATTGTAATGCACTTAGTTACATATGATATACAGAGGCCTTGGAACTGAAATTTAACTAACTGATATCTTGCGTCCCTGCGAAAGCTCCTCTTTGGAATCGGCCTCTGGCTGGCCGGCTTCATCTTTGGTTTCGCGTATCATGTTCATAATGGAAATGTCTATGGCTGCTGAATCAGGATTCGGGTCAATTCTGGTGTCAGAGTGACGGAAAGTCTGAGCTTTGATCGGACTCTGTAAAGTTACAGCACCGGCAAAGTAGTCATTGTCTGCGCTGCGACGCTGACTATGAGGCGTAGGAGGATCCGAAGAAACTGTGGTCATTGTGGTGGCTTGCGTGATCACTGGAAGCGCCGGTGCAGCCAGGCTAATCTTGTTGATTGGGTTGGCTTCCTGAGATGGCTTTCTCGAAGAGGTTGTGGCCAGTGAAGAATTCGAAGCATTGACCTGCCGTGTCAAAATTACCCCTGAGGGATACACATTCTCGTCAATTGACACCGCCCTCGACGGCTGGCTTGAAGCAACTGGTGAAGGAAGCTGGGACCCTTGATCCAACTGAGGCTTTTCAAAAGTATAGTTCGCACTAATTGGGGTAGCCAACGTTGAGGTCCTGATGGTCTCAGATACCGGCACCGCTGAGCTAATTTGTTCCCACAAGTTTCCTGTACTCGAAGATTGCACAGACGATGTTTTCTGGGAAAAAGGTTTCTGCGGTGGAAGCATGTGATCAGAAGAATTTAGTAGATTCTTGTTGGGCGTCAATATCTGAGCTTGAGGTTGAGGTGTTGGCATCTGAGTCTTATTAGTGTCCAAATTCAATGGCGGAGGCTTGGACCGTTGTGAGACCCTTGAATCAATCGAATCCCGTGCATCCTCGCGTTTTTCTTTGGAAGACGTGCTCACTCGAGACTGTGAGCTCATGCGATTATTCAGCATATCCGATGACATCGAATTATCTCCGGTTGTCGTCGTGGTGATTATCTTATTGATGTTCATCGTGGAAACGCTTTCGGCCATCTTCGAAATAATGCTAGCGTCCAAAAACTTATTTAGCTTCAATTGAGCAGACTTTGCATCAAGCAATAATCTCGACTCGAATATTCCAGGTTTTGAGCCATCAATGCGTAGATCATTTGAGTAGTCAACTCCATTGAACAAATTGAATAACTCGATTCTGTAACCTCTGTTGCTGGCCAAGGGATTACCAACTAAGTACAAGATGTTGAGCTTCACAACGTCATTATTCAGCAAGAAAAGCGGCTTCATCTCAGCAACCTTAGTCAGCTTGTTTTGTCGCAGATCAATTTTCTCCAACGATGTGGCATTCTCCAAAGTATCCAAGTTTGATAATTGATTACCACGCAAGTTGAGAATGGTCAACTTGTTCAGCGTCTTGGGAAACGTTTTGGTGTTAACCAGCTTGTTAAATGAAAGGTTCAGTGACTTAAGATTATGAAGTTTTGCCAGTGCCCCGTGAGGGATCTCCGTCAAGTTATTGTACGACAAGTCAAGAGACGATAGATTCTCCAAATTGGTGAACGCGTCTTCGCTAATTCTTGTTATTTTGTTCTCTGTGAGCGACAAATGTTTCAATAATTTCCAGTGAATCTTAGAAAATTCATGCGGGTTTGAGGAAATAGGAATCTGGTCAATGGTAGGTAGTGTATCTTTCGGGGTGTAGCGTGATTTATGGTGGTAATGATATTGTCTTCTAGGAATCAATGCATATTTGTCGTCAGTGGGAAGTCGTGAAGCGTAATAGGATGATGGTGGTGACGTGGTTTCTGGAAGTGATCCGCTGAGGTAGTGGTGGTGGGAAGATCCATATGAATTAGAAAAACTTGTGGAGTTGTGAACTGAGGGGGAAGAAAAAGAGCCTCTTTTGGCCATCGGAATTGCGAGAGAAGCAGTAGAAGAAGGCGATGGCTCTGAATCCTCAGAGTACATTGACCCACGCTTGTTTATGTCGTCGTTGACCAATGTAACAAGAATGTCGTATGGATCTGTGATGTTAGTACGTTTGACAACCAAGAATCTAATGTTTTCGCTCAGTATATGCCAGCCATAGATCTCTTTCGGATCCATATCTGAGATCTCTAGGACAGAAAGGTTTTTGAATATCTTTATAGGCGTTGACGTGTCGAAAGGATACTCTTCATGGCCTTCGATCAGCTTGGCATTGGGATCTGTCGCCAACCTGAGACAGGGGAGTTTTGTAAATGCAGAATATAGGTATTTGAGATCGTTGATAATATTGTCTCCCTTTTGGCCACTTGAGCTTAGCGTGGTCCACAGGGCTGAAACGCTCGACATAACTGACTTGACACTGGACATCGAGTGAATCGATTGAGCGTCCGATTGTATGGCCTTGTTCCTTTGAAATTCACTCAAAAATGAAACGTAGTTGTTGGAGCTTTCGGTATCAATATTATCTAGTCGAATGTTCATTGGGCCTACGCTGATGCCCAGTTCCTGGAATTTACCGAGTAAAAAATACAGATGGTGCAGAGAAAGAGACAGCCTGACCGGCTTTGTCGTCTGTTGATGTTGTCTCGGCAGGGAATTGGGCTTGTCAGCTGTGCTTGTCTTAGGAGCACTCTTCTTGTAGGCCACCAAGGCATTGGCTAGCTGGCGCTCGTGAGATTTGATGAACGTGGCCAAGTTATGGATATAGACGTCTCCGTCGCAGGTGTTAGCACCCATATTAGGAAATGAGAAAACTTCCTGGCACTAATGGGGTATCAAGCGTCCCCTAAACCACTTCTTGACGTGAAGTGGGGATAATATCTTGCCAAGCAGACGGCTGGTATACTGAAACTAGTCACTTTAAATAGAAATTAAAAACCTGTACGCCATTTGTTTACATTTTTTACATAAAATTGAGATGGTAGCACGACCTTGATAGCTCAATGAGAGGCAGCCGAACAGTAATCCCCTGATCCCAAAGAGTCCTGTTCGCTGACAGCAGCACGCGAAGGAGCATCGGAGGCTGGAAGCTTCGACGTGCTGGTGTTTGCGGTGATAATACGCTCAAATATACTTGCTGGAGGAATTGCAGATGTGGAAGCATTGGTGTCGATGCTCCGACGTCTTCTATTTCGAGTCGAGCTAGCGATTGTAATCACAGAAGAAGAGTCCGCACCGTGAGCTGTTTGGTGAGAGAACGAAACGGCCGTCGGAGTGATACTCCCGGTATAGCTTAGAATGCTTGTCCCGTGACCTTGCGTGCTCGAACCGCCAGGCACGATAATCATGTTGCTCGGCACAGAGCTGCTGGCAGAGGTCAGTGCTGTTGGTGCGATAGAGGTCATTGCCGTGGACTTGACTGATGGATCGTAATCTTTGTAACTGGAATCAATTTCGTCATCTTCGTTGTCGCTGTCGTCCGAAGAGTTGGACAAAATGGGCCTTGTGCTGACATTGTCCCCCGTCGATGCCTCGGTGCTACAGAAACTGTTTCTTTCGTCTGGTGTTTTTATTCCTGTAACCGGAATTGACTCTTGCTTGACAGGTTCTGTTTTCCGCGTGGCCCTGCTGGAGCCTTGATAAGCTTGAGGAGCAATGGGCTTGTTGTTATTCATCAGCCGTTTCACCCACGAAAAACGGCCGCTTCTGAACGGTTCACTGTTCGAGCTTTTCCGCCTATGATCAAAAGAGCCGCGGTGGCGGGGCTCGGTCTGAGCCGTGTCTCGTGTCGCTTTGCGCGCACTGGCCAAGCTCGTTTGTGGCTGCAAAGATGGCTCAACTTCCATGTAATTGTTCAGATGGTTGTCTCAGAATAAAAGGCCCGTTGCCGAAGTATATTAATGAGCTAGTTTATCCTAATTATCTAGCAAGTGGCTATTACTAATTAACACAGCCACGGACTTCATTAAAATTATCTAACAATACCGGTCAATGAACAGGGACCAGCATCCAAACTCTTTCCGCGTCCTTGGCTATGTGGTGGACCCCACAGATGTACTTCTGTACTTCCTGGCTTTCATCTTCCCGCCAGTTCCAGTGTTTCTCCGGAAAGGTTTTTTCAGCAGCGAGTTGCTTATCGTCGTGCTGCTCACCATCTTGGCACATCTTCCGGGTCTCCTCTACGCAGTATACATCATTTATGACACGAGCTTGGTCACTGGCTCAGACCAAGGAGTGGAGTCGAGAATTAGAGCCCGTGCAAATGGCAATGGGGACTACCAGGCCCTCAATGAAGATACAGAAGCTCAGCCTCAGCCTCAGAACCTTGTCTCTCCTACTCCACAACGTCCCGCTGCTCAATTTCATTACGAAGATATCAGTCCGGACACTCCTCATGAAGAGGCACTGCCGCAATCTTCCTCACAGCCTCCAAGTTACAGTGACGCCATCAAATATTCTGTTTCGCCGCCTCCTGTCGGAGACCACAAGGTCCAAATGGATTAGATAATCGGACCTCGTTTCACAGAAAAAAATAAGTATATAGGCCGGCTGTGCTAAATAAATTTTTTTTGACTTCAATGAAGATCAAGACCATCTCAAGATCGTCGGACACTTATGTGCCCGTCCGAAATACCCAGGAAAGCTCACTGCCGCGTAACTTAGATCCTTCTCTCCATCCCTTTGAGCGGGCGCGAGAATATACAAAGGCGTTGACAGCCACTAAGCTCGAGCGCATGTTTGCACAACCATTCATAGGACAACTGGGCAACGGACATCGTGACGGTGTCTATTCGATTGCCAAGAATTTCCGCAGCGTTAACAAGATTGCCACCGGTTCTGGAGATGGGGTCATCAAATACTGGGATTTAACCACAAGGGACGAGTTGCACAGTTTCAAGGCGCACTATGGTATGTGTTCTGGGCTAGTTGTCACTCCAACCCACAAGCTTCTATCCTGTGGACACGACAAGACGATCAAACTGTGGAAAGTGTACGATGAGAATTTTGAGAAAGAGGAGGACGAGTCTGAATCCAGCACCCAGGGCCTCGAAAAGACATTTTTAGGCGAGCATGCGTTCCAGTCTCTGGACCATCATTACAGCGATGGTCTATTCGTCACCGGCGGAGCCACCATCAACCTATGGGATGTGAACAGAAGTCGTCCGGTGTCCGATTTGTCCTGGGGAGCAGACAACATCACCACTGTCAGATTCAATCAGACGGAGACCTCTGTGTTCGCTAGTGCCGGCTCGGACAATTCCTTAATTCTCTACGATATCCGCACAAATTCACCTACGCAAAAGATCAAAACCAGCATGCGCTCTAACGCCCTCTGCTGGAATCCGATGGAGGCGTACGTTTTTGCGTCCGCCAGTGAGGACCATAACGCATACTTGTGGGATATGAGAAACATGTCGCGTTCTATTAATGTCTTCAAAGACCATGTTTCAGCGGTTATGGACGTGGACTTTTCACCTACTGGTCAGGAGATTGTGACAGGATCATACGATAAGACGATTCGAATCTTTGGATACAGAAAGGGCCATTCGAGAGACATTTATCACACAAAAAGAATGCAACATGTCTTTATCACCAAGTTTTCGATGGATAGCAAGTACATTTTTTCGGGCTCTGACGAGGGCAACGTGCGGCTCTGGCGTGCCAAGGCCAACGAAAGAGCAGGACCGAAGTCCACGAGACTCAGAAACAAGCTGGAATACGATGAAAAATTGAAGGAGAGATACGGCAACATGCCAGAAATCAAAAGAATACAGAGACATAGGCACCTCCCGGCAGTGGTCAAGAAAGCAGGAGAGATCAAGAGAATAGAGATCGAGAGTCAGAAACGTCGCGAGAACAATGAGCGCAGACACTCCAAGAACAAGCAGTACAAGAGCGAAAGAGAAAAGCATATTGTTGGTCAGGTGCACAAACAATAGCCACCATGAGGCTATGCAGATGATAATATTTTTTGTTAGTATCGGGACTAGTTTTCCGCGGTATAGCTTTAATGGTAACGGAAATTTTCTGAACGTACAGTATAAATACTTTGTGGATTCTTTGGCATGCGAACCAAAATGGCCGGTGTGAGAATCGCAATTGATAGAGGAGGAACGTTCACCGACTGCGTTGGTAGTTGGGAATCCGACTCCGGCAAGAAGGACGTTATTATCAAGCTCTTATCTGTGGATCCTCAGAACTATCCTGATGCCAACCTAGAAGGTATCAGAAGACTGATGGAGATTTATACCGGTGAAAAGATACCCCGTGGACAGCCACTCGACACGTCCAAAATCCAGCATCTGCGTCTGGGTACGACCGTTGCCACTAATGCTCTTTTGGAGAGAAAAGGCGAGCGCTGCGCTTTGGTGACCACCCTAGGCTTCCAGGATATTCTCCGGATTGGCAATCAGTCTCGGCCACACATCTTTGATCTATCCATCGCCAAGCCTGATGCCATATACGAGAGTGTTGTGGAGATCGATGAGAGAGTCACTTTGGAGGATTTTGTTGAGGATCCGCAGAGAAATTACACGGCACCAAATGGAGTTGATCTGGTCAAGGGTCTTTCTGGAGAGACCGTCCGTGTACTTAAGAGACCGAACGAGGACGAAATCCGGAGCCTGCTGACGGTCTTATATGGAACTGGTGTCCGGTCTTTGGCCGTGTGTTTGCTTCATTCGTTCACCTTCCCGGACCACGAGCTTCTCGTGGGCCGAATTGCTGAGGAAGTTGGATTCACTCATATTTCGCTCTCGCACAAACTCACCCCAATGATCAAGCTTGTTCCAAGAGCCAATTCGTCCGTGGCAGATGCATATCTGACTCCAGAAATCAAGAAATACTTATCCGGCTTTGAATCTGGCCTCAAAGACGGTCTAGCCAGCGTTGCACACGGAAAAACTTCTGGTGTGAAATGCCAGTTTATGCAGTCAGACGGCGGTCTAGTCGACGCTTCCGGGTTTTCTGGTCTAAGAGCCATTTTGTCTGGTCCAGCAGGAGGTGTTGTCGGCTACTCCAAGACCTGCTACGACCCGAAAAATAAAATTCCTTTGATCGGTTTCGATATGGGTGGAACATCCACAGACGTTTCGCGGTTTGGAGACGGAAAGTTTGATCACGTTTTCGAGACCACCACAGCCGGCGTCACAATTCAGTCTCCCCAGCTGGATATCAACACGGTGGCTGCTGGAGGAGGCAGCATTCTTGATTTCAAAAACGGTCTCATGACTGTTGGTCCAGAGTCTGCTTCGTCCCACCCAGGCCCAGCATGCTACCGCAAGGGAGGTCCGTTAACTATCACCGACGCTAATTTGATCTTAGGAAGACTCGTGCCAGAGTACTTCCCAAGCATTTTTGGGCCCAACGAAGACCAGCCGCTGGATATCGAGGTTGCCCAAAAGAAATTCCAAGAACTGACTGACAAGATTAATGCCGCGCATCCGCATCTTCCAGCCATGAGCATCCAGCAGGCCGCGTGGGGTTTCCTCAAGGTTGCCAACGAAACCATGGCCCGCCCAGTCCGCCAGCTGACAGAGGCTAAAGGTCACGTGCTCGCAAAGCACAGACTCGTTTCCTTTGGTGGTGCTGGTGGACAGTGTGCATGCGACGTGGCAAAGCTGCTTAACATCTCTGTGGTGCTGGTGCACAGGTTCTCTTCTGTTCTATCAGCATATGGCATGGCGTTGGCTGACGTTGTCGAGGAAGTGCAGGAGCCGTCCTCGTATGTTCTTGAAGATAGTACCCAGTCTCTGGTGCAGGCCCGTCTGGAGGCACTCAAGCAGCAGGCAGCGAAGTCTCTTCAGGCCCAAGGCTTTAAGAGCGAGGATATTTCTTTTGAGGAATATCTAAACCTAAGATATCAGGGAACAGAATCAGGGCTTATGGTGGCTAAAGGCAAGGGCTGGGATTTCAAAGAGAATTTCTTTGCGCTCCACAAGCGCGAGTTCGGCTTTATCTTTGACAAAGAAATCATTGTGGACGACATTCGTGTGAGAGCTATTGGAAAGGGACTCGACAGACAGGAAGAGTATGTAGATGACCAATTGCAGCGCCTCACATCTGAAAACCGTCTGGCTACCGTTTCCAAAGACAAAATACAATTTGTCAAGAAAACGTTCTGGGGTGACGAGGACCTGGACACTCCTGTGTACAGACTAGAGCAGCTCGACATTGGTACTCAGATTGTCGGGCCTGCCATTGTTGCCGACGGTACTCAGACGAACGTGATTCCACCGAAGGCCACGGCCACTGTTCTGAGCTCTCACCTTGTTATCCATCTGGCTGAGGAGAAGAAGTCTGTTGCTACAGGCGACCAGGAAATTGTCGTGGAGCCCGTTCTACTGTCGATTTTTGGCCACCGATTCATGGATATTGCTGAGCAAATGGGCATTTCGTTGCAAAAGACATCAGTTTCGGTCAACGTCAAAGAGAGGCTAGATTTCTCGTGTGCTTTGTTTGATCCGCACGGAAATTTGGTTGCCAACGCGCCCCATGTTCCCGTCCACTTGGGATCGATGTCCACCTGTGTTGCTACGCAGGCCAAACTTTGGGAAGGAAAGCTGAAACCTGGCGATGTCCTGATCTCCAACCATCCTTCTGCTGGTGGAACACATCTACCGGACATCACGGTGATCACGCCAGCCTTTGACGGCGACAAGATCATATTTTACGTTGCCTCGCGTGCACACCATGCCGACATTGGAGGAATTTTGCCAGGCTCTATGCCTCCAAATTCGAAGGAGTTGTGGGAAGAAGGGGCCACCTTCTACTCTGAGCTACTGGTCAGAAACGGGGAGTTCCAAATGGACAAAATTACCAAAATTATGTTGGAGGACCCTGCCAAGTACCCGGGCAGTTCGGGAACTAGAAGATTGTCCGACAACATTTCCGATCTGAAAGCCCAGGTCGCAGCCAACCAGAAGGGTATTTCTCTCATTGAGCGTCTCGTGGACGAGTTTGGACTTCCTACCATCATCAGATACATGACTGCTATTCAGGAGAATGCGAAACAGACAGTGTCCGCTATGCTTGACCGGTTGATCGAGGAACACGGCGAGGAAAACCTCGCTTGCACAGACTACATGGACGACGGAAGTGCTATACAATTGCAAGTTCGCAAGGACAACGAAGACGGCAAAGTTGTGTTTGATTTCACAGGAACTTCTCCACAGGCCTACAATAATTTCAATGCCCCAAGGGCCATCGTTTTCTCTGCCATAATCTACTGTCTGCGGTGTCTTGTGGACGAGGACATCCCGATGAACCAAGGATGTCTCGACCCTATCAAGGTGGTCATTCCCGAAAGCTCGCTTCTATCTCCAGATGATGGTTGTGCTGTTGTTGGAGGAAACGTGTGCACTTCGCAACGTATCACCGACACAATCCTGAAAGCTTTCCACGTGATGGCCGACTCCCAGGGATGCTGCAACAACTTCACCTTTGGTACCGGTGGAAACACCCCAGACGGGAAATATGCTCAGGGATTCGGGTACTACGAGACCATTGCTGGTGGCCACGGAGCATCTGCCAAGTGGGAGGGTGTTTCTGGAGTCCACACGAATATGACCAACACCAGAATCACAGACCCTGAAGTTTTTGAGAAGAGATACCCTATTATTCTGCGCGAATTCTCTATTAGAGAAGGCTCCGGTGGTGATGGTATGCACAGAGGAGGTGATGGTGTCGTGAGAGACGTGGAATTTAGAGTTCCTGTCACGGCCTCGATTCTTTCAGAAAGACGAGTGGTTGCACCGCACGGAATTGCCGGTGGAAAGGACGGCGCTAGGGGCGTGAACTTGTGGATTAAGAAGACAAAGGATGCTAAAGGCAAGGAGTCGGAACGGATTATCAACATAGGTGGTCGCTCTTCTGTCCAGGTGGCAGCAGGAGACCGCATTCGGATCCTCACTCCTGGAGGAGGTGGGTACGGTGCTGCCAGTGGCGAGGCCAAAAAACCGTCCCGGCAGCACGGCGGCCACAAGTTCACGTTTTCTGGATCGCTGGCTGCGCGTAACAGAATTCAACTGGAAAATTAATATTAGTTAAATATTCCTAAGACACTATCTAATTTCAGGTTCAGCTCATCCCATTCGCCCTCGCACGTGCTTAGCACCGTTATTGCTCCGCCAGCACCGCATCTGAAACATCTGGTCGTCCCCGTCGAGCAAAGATCGTCTTCGTAGTTGAACAGCGAACGGATGACCACGCTCCAGTCGGCATGGTTATTGACAGACCAGTACCCGCATACTCCAGAATATAGTCCCCTAGGGATTCTGTCCTCCAGGTCACAAAGAATCTCCACGCTCCGTTTTTTTGGCGCACCCGTCATCGATCCCGGCGGAAGAGAGTGTCTGAGTAAATCTATTCCCGTGTAAATGCTGTCCTGCAACCGGCCCTCAATAACTGAAACCAGCTGATACACAGTTTGGTACTCCTCCACGGACATGAGCTTCGTCACTTCGACCTCTTTCAGCATCTGGTACAGGTCGTGGCGGATTAGGTCCACAATCATGAGGTTTTCTCCAATCTCCTTGGGTATCTTCAGCAGCTCGCAAGCTCTGGCGTAAGTCAGCTGCGGGTGCTTTTTCACAGTCCCCTTTATTGGCCTCATCTGAGATAGCTGGTTATTCCAGCTGAGAAACCGCTCGGGAGAGGTCGACAGAAGCCTTGCATCGCCAAAGTCGAGATAGCATGAATATGGCGAGGGGTTGTTCTTTACCATGCATTTGTATAATTCCCAAGGAGCAACGGTCTTGGGGACGTGTACCTTTGTCTGGCGGGTCAGACATAACTCGTACGAGTCGCCAGCGTGAAGGTACTTCTGGCAGTCGTAAAAGCTTTTCTCGTAGCTTTTTTTGTCTGGCTTTTCCACTTTGGCTTTCACCGATGATAAAAATCTGGGCTCTGAACAAGTTTGCAACTGGCTCTTTGTTTGCTGTATCCATTCTTTGTCTCGTGGACGAATAGACACCACAAATGTGTGCTTGTCGTTGCTGACAATGAAGCGTTCCACAAAACAGAGTCGCGTACTTGGAGTTGGTCCTGAAGTGATTTTATTCACTGTCAACGGTATCGATTCCTCGTACGACAAGAACCCAATGAAGCCTCCGACAAACGGGCATTTCGCCAGCTCTGGGTCGCCGATTGTAGGCTCGTAGTACCGCTGAGACATATGGTTGCAAATATAAGACCACAGAGAGTCTGAATGGGCCTTTGTCTCTCCTTTCCAAGTTCCAACTGTCAGTCCTGCTTCGCGGGAGTTACCAACCACGAGACTCCTTCCTGGCTCGGGCAGCCCTATTATGGACCATTCCCCCGGCGACAGTGCACTGTTCAGCAGAAGTGGGTCAGGAAATCGCTCGCAGGCGGATAAGATGTCAACTTTGGGTAGTTTCTCGTACTTGTAGTCGTACTCCAAAGTAGTTTTGAAATGCTTAATTAGTGGTTCTGTCTGCAATAGGTGCGAGTCTCTAATAGGAACGGTCTCTCGTTTCTCGACCAAGGCCCAAAAATTCGATACCAGTTTGCTTCCCATCTCCGAGCAGACAGATTCCGGGTGATACTGGACTCCAAAATGTAGATTCTGAGCGTGTTTGGCTGCCATCAGACATTGATCCTCCGAATAGGCGAGCGGGATAATGTCGTCAGTTACCGTGGAGATATAGATTGAATGATATCGCACGCTATCGAAATCGGTATCAAAGTCCCTGAATAAGGAATTCTTGTCGATTGGCGTTATTCTGCTGATCTGACCATGGACAGGGTGCTCTAGATACCCTAATGTGCAACCATGCGCCAGACATAAACATTGAAAACCGAGGCAAATTCCAAGAATCGGCGTCTTGGGAAAGGTCTCAAAGAGATATGGAATGATGCCTACGTCTTGCGCAGAATCGGGATTTCCAGGCCCCGGACCGATCACAATAGCGTCGACTGATCCAACTAGTTTGTTGAGACTCTCCTTCTCACGCGGGAGATCGTATGAATCGTTATGAATTGTGAGCACATGTGCGCCTGTCGCATTTTCTACAAGGTGGCGCAGATTGTACGTGAATGAGTCGTACGAGTCGATTAGAAGAATAGACATCCAATGAAAGCGCTGTTGAACTATTTTTTTCCACTGCGGCTCGAGGATTTAAAAAAAAAGTAGTCGAGCCGCACTTCTTTCGAATTATGAGTTCTCAAAGCATAATTAAGACTCTGTCGCCGCCTTTTGGCCCCTCTTTTGATGTTGTTATCACGTTACCAAGCAGCAGGCCTCTTGCAAATGTGAGAAATATGGTTCCAATAACGATTCACATAAGCACCGAAGGATCAAATGCCAATTTGGGATGTTACGTATACTCGATCGCTGATACAAGAAAACAGACAACTGCGCCACAGGTATATCAGACTTTGCTAAACAACGCATCAGAAACCCTTGTGGACCTTGGGAAGCGAATGGGACAGCTTGTATCCAAAAAGTATCACGTCCCCAGCTACGTTAGTTTGAGTGGGCAATTTTCACATACGGACTTTGTCGTTGCCATTCAAGAAACATTCGCATTGATGGAAGACTACTGGCAAAATACGAGTAAATAGAGAAGCTATCATTAATATTTATCCGCGAAAATCCTTGTAGGTCCATTTTTCTGTAATCTTTGGAGCGTACTTGCGCTTCTGCTTAACAGGCTTTCTGGCCTCAACCTTGCCCGAGGACTGTAATGCGCGCATTTGGTCGTACAGCAAGTTGCCTTCTGGCTTAAGTTTGCGTAAACTATCGCTCAGTTCGTCGCTCAGTTTCACTTCCAGCAACCCTTCAACAGGTTGGTGCTTCGTTCCTAGCTTCTTCTTTTCCTTGGCGACTTTGTCCTGTTTCGTTCTGCCTTTCTTAGGAACTTCTTCTGATAGCAGCTCGGGTAACTTTTCTAGCTCCTTGATTTTCTGTTTCAGCTCTTTCATTTCGTTCTCAAGCTTCATCCTCTCTTTATGTCTCTTTTCCCGATTTCTCTGTGTTTTGGTTTTCTCCTTGTTTTTGACAGCCGGATTTAGCGACAGCTTTGTCACGTCACTTGCATCTTTTTCCTCTTCCTCGTCTTCCTCGTTGTCTTCCGGAACCTCATCATCATCAAAATTCTCAATCAGGTACTGAATTTTCTCTTGATGCTCCTGTAAAGCCAATTTTTGCTCCTCTCTGGTGCTTTCCTTGAAAGATTCCGTCTTGATCAGCTCTTGCCAGCTCTCAAAAGACGGATTATAAGACTTGCCTTCGTGAGGAAGGGTTTCCACTTCTCTCACCTTAATGGGAGGCTCTGATAGGGTCTTAGGGGCTTTCGTAGCCGGAGTGTAGCTTGCTAGACTTGGACTCTGCTCACGAGATTCGGGTTCAGACCACACGTCGTAGATCTTGCTGACTTTGACCAGCCCCTCATCACTCACTGCTGCTTGGGTTTTGGTCACGCCTTGAACTTTTCCAGCCAGTTCCATCAGTTTATGCACTTCTTTCTTGTCAACTCCTTGAATTTTCCGTTTATGCCTTTCAGTCTCCAGTCCTGCTACTTTGGATCGTTGGTTCAGAATTTCTTGGGACTTGAGAGGCTTAACGTCATCACGTTTCAGTTTCTTCACCACCTTCTCATCAGCTTCTTCATCTATGAAAAAAAGGCCTTCAGAGTCAATACTATCTAAAGTCTCACCATGTTGTATCAGCTCTTCACGCCTCTGTTCAAGTCCAGACTCAATATCATTAAGATCTATGTTCTTCCTCCAAGCTTTCTTAGTTTTCCTGGAGCTTTGTTTTGTCTGTGGTCTATCTACTTGCATGGCTGATAGACCTAAAAATTATCAAAAAAAAAAAAAAAAAAAAAAAAAAAAAAAAAAAAAAAAAAATTTTAACTAGCGTCAATTAAACTTCTGCTTTTTTGATTTTTTTATATATTTTTTTTT